TTGTCTAACATGACTTGGTAAGACTGTGTTTAAAATCGTTTTTAATAAAAATAAAAATAGCAGGCTTAAATGGCGAAACTCACAAGAGAATAATATTCAATTACAAATTCTATTCCTTGAGAGGTATACATCCAGGATAAATGTGTTACAACCCTGATAATACAACTACAGTACTTTTAAATCGTGCTTGATTATAACTTATCTTTTTGGAAATGAAACTATACGAAAATGTGATTCAGATACGAAAATTTAAAAACATCTCTCCATACCTATTTTTTTAAATAGGCCTACTGTAGTAAACATGTTAAAGTTATAGTGCTGCTTATCTAGATCAAATGGAAGAAACAATGTTTAGCTATATAAGAGGTTTGAGTTGTCAAATTCAATACCATTCGAGATCCACTACCATGTGAAGATATTGTAACCGTGGGCTACCATTATATAATTATTCATCCAGACAACACATGTGACGACAATCGACAAGATGAAAATATGTTTATTCTCATATTTATTCTCGTACTGCACTCTCGTACACAATTTCATCAAGACGAAGAAAATGAGACTAACTCACACACAATACCCAGCATCAAGTCTCTACCCAAAAACGTCAGTGTCACACTAGATGCGTCATCATTCCATGCGTTTAAAATACCTATCCCACCAACATTCACTAGATCAAATCTATACTTGGAACATGCATCATAACACATTATATGATTATAATAATAGATATGTCACTTTATATTATTTTATCATGTGTGATCCGTCCATTATACATTTGCAGATCTGACAAGCAAGCTAGCTTGATGTAATATATATTACTGGTGGTATTTTATAGGCTAAGCAAGATAAATCAGAAACACATTTATTTCTTTAGGGAGAGCTCACATCAAATAAATATTATTTGACACGAAGCGATGACAGCTTCGTTGATTTCCGACTAAGGGACAAACGTATATTTCCATGGGAGAAAAAAAATATCATACTTTCGAACATGTAAATTTAGAGGACAAAAAAAACTTATGGTTTGGAGATTCGCCGTTTATTTGTATTGTACGAAACAAACCAAAATCGATAGGAAATTTATTTTTACTGTTGTTGAAAAGAGAACCTTTATGAGACCCCCGAGTTTTGGGGTCTCCTGTTGCTCTCCTTAATCCGCCACTGTCAATGAGCTACGGTCTTACAGCAAAATTTTCTATACTCTTAAGATAAACCTTGCCATATCCTTTGTAGCTCCTACCTGCTGTCTAGTTTCGGTTTTAATTCTCATTAATTCGGCAAATAAAGCAACAATTCTAACCTAACTTTCACTTCAAAACTGGTAACTTCCTGCCCTTAAAAAAATTGGATTAAAGCGTCATTTGATCGCTCGTGCACTCACATGTTGAAGTAAAACATGTTTTTCTATCCTGTTTTGTTGAGATTCAGTGTTTTATTTCCAGAAACTAGTTGATCAACCGAATTGTGTGCCAGAAATAAAATGTATAAGAGGCCTATTTTAGGGAGCATGATGAAGAACGGGGTGTTTCGAAGTTTTTTCATGGGGAACAACTCTTATTTTAGTGGCCTATGATTGGTAAAGAACATGGAATGCTATTTTAACACAATTTAAAGACGGTTAGGAAATTTTCAATTGATAACTAGGGTTAGCCTATAATGCTGGTTTTCCTAACGCTTTGAAGTGAGAACTAATTCACAGTGTAGACCCTATACAGTATTATTTTTAAAATATTTTTTACCAACATGTAACGCGATCTGATGCGAAATAACTTTTAATTGTTTTTTTTTTACATATGGGTCAATCATTTGTCACAATGCTTTCGCTGCTTTTGTTTTTAACGATAAGATCAAATCATTTTCTTAAACGATTGCTGGTCCGGACTATGTTATTGTAGGGAGCTTCGGCTTTATAAAAACAATGTCTGCCTTGTAGATGATGACAGCTGGTATGTATATTTAAGTGTGTGTACGTGTTTGATATTTTGAAATAAAAATAAATTAAGCAAACATTACAACTTTAGTTTTTTATAGTGAAACCAACAATGAACAAGTAAATTCGGGGGTCCCTAAATATCGAGGGCCCTTGACTGCTGCCTTTTCAGCCCCCCCCCCCCCCCAATCCGCTATTGCCTAGTAATTTTAGTAAAACTTTGTGAAGGCAGAGGTTGTCTTAAGATTAATGCTCAGAAAGCGAACATAAAGGGTAGGTAGCCTCAAGCTCACGGGTTCCCAATTTGTTTGTCTTGACCCCCAATGGTGTCACACGGTTCTTTTTTTTTTTGGGGGGGGGGGGGGGGATCGCCAACTTGTTGACTAATCAAACAATATTCAAACTGTTATTATTTTTTTTTAAAGTTTTTAAAAGTTTTTAAGGTGTCTAGAAATCTGAATAATTTAATACATAAAAAAAACCTATGAAAATAAAAATTGTAATATACTTTAACAACTAAGAGTTTTAGGATAGAGTAGCATACATAGCAAATATTCTAACACAAAATAGATTTAACCTGAAGCTTCGGGGAAAATAAACGAAAAGCATCATCATTCATGATAATCAATGGACATGTTTCTTATATGCCATGAAATTGGCCAAACTAATTAGGGAAAAATTGCCGAGTGTGCAGAGTGGTATTTGAATTACATGTAAAATAAATACCATTTTGAAAGAGGAGATTGCAGGGCATCTTGAATCTCTTGGAACGAACAGCGGCCCCACTTCCTTGAGCTGAAAGAAATAGAAACTACATTGACACGTAGTCCATTCTCTGCTTCCCTAGATGGTACCAGCACTGGCGATTAATTACTAGGCGAATTCGTTGATTAGCGAAATGATTCCGTGGCATGAACTATGGTTAATCAAAACCCTTCGCACTATTTTGGTGTATGCACCATTCACACCGAAAAGGTGACATTGCTTACATTTCGAGTTTTATTTCTGTTTGTGTCCAAATATCTTTCCGAAAGTAGATGTTTAACATTTCTCCATTTGAAACAAAATACATTGAATTTTTTATATTGAACATGATTTTGGCGTTAACAGAAACGCAACCGCAAATTTAAGGGCTAGTTAATGACATGCAATTTTACCCATCGCATATAATCAGTTATCAAACGTAATTTTCAATAGAATTTAAATGTACTAGAAAACCTTAACTCGGTATTTATTAATTTACTTGTTAATATTGAATATTGACTTTTTAATGGAGTGGGGGTGGCAGGTAACTTTGCACTTAGCTTTTGTATAAAGGGATCGTCACTAGAAAAAGTTTGAGAACCTGAGCTCGCTAGCTAGTTTGAAGGTATTACAACCAGCATCACTTTTGAGAAATTACATATTGATTTTCAAATCCACTTCTGAACAAATTAAAAAACAATCATGATAATCATAGGTGTAGGGCAAATGTAGCTATAAAAAGTATTTCTAACACATTTCTATTAGCAAGTAAACACGTAAAGTTCCCTTACGAAACAGTTCGTCCATGTGACAAATGAAGCAGGGTTTTCCTGTTTCTTTGACCTCGGCTTATAAAGGGGTACTGTGTCCTGCCTTCTTGAAAACAGATTCGAACTCGTAGCTTTCTGTTAGGGCAGTCTAGCGCTCTGCCGTTAGGCCACGTCCTCCCATTCGATGTTTTAGAGTCACTAATTTGAACCTTTTTTTTACACAAGAAAGTTTCGGAGAATTTTTTTTAAGTACCATTGTTTTATTATTAGAAAATTATTTGCGTTTAGAAAAAAAACCAATTAAGAGCATATTTTAAAGAACCTCGAGCTTTAATTTGATTTGAAATAAAGCATTAAAACATTACATATATCCTCCATGGTGACAAGACAAATGGTCTCAGGACAAATGGTCTCAGGACAAATGGTCTCAGGACAAATGGTCTCAGGACAAATGGTCTCAGGACAAAGGATCATAAGAACAAATGATCATAAGAACAAATGATTTCAAGGAAAATTGATCTCACTGAAAAATATATGAGAAAAAAAACTATAAGGACAAATGATATCATAGACAGAAAATCCCAAACATAATATATTTAAAAAAATATCTCAAGGCAAAATATGTGTAGTATTTGGGATGATTCTGTTGCGCATGCCTGAAGAGCAAAAAAAAATCTCGGGACAAATCATCTTTATGACAAATGATCTCAAGAAAAATTCATCACACGCAAAGAATACATCATGACGAAAAATACAAAGACAAATAATTTCATGGACAAATGATCTCAGTCCAAGCAGCTCTGACAAAATATCTCTGACAAAATATCTCACGGCAAAATATATAGGCCTATAGTGTTTGGGATGATTTTAGTCGATTTTAAAAATTTCTTTTGTTGTCAGGTTGATTTTATTTGCTTTCTTTCACAGAATAATTGTGAGATACTAAATGAATCAGTTAAACTTGATTTTTAAATAGTATTTCATATATGTATAAGACATAAGAATACATTAAAATACATAAATTGATGAACGCCTAAATTATACTAAATTCACAATACGTCGAAAAGTTTGCAAAAACGTTCATAACGTAAAATATATAACGAAATAGATTAAAATTATCTTAAACATAAATATTTTGCATTGAAATATTTCGTATGAGTTATTTTTATCGGAGATCGTTTGCCGATGATATCATTAGTACTTGAGATCATTTATTGTTCTATGATATTTTGTCTGAGACCATTTATCATGAGGTCATTTGTCATGTAACCATTTTCTAATACAAGATTCTAAATATTTAAAGCAATGAAGTCTATAACTCCTATGTGCACTCAATACTATTACACGAGTGCGTACATCTTATTGCGTGAGTACTTAACAGTAAAAAACAAAATATCATAAGTCTAAAACCTGAGATTTGCATTTTTGTGCACACATAGCCTATACGATTACCATACAAAATTCTTGCTTGAGCTCCACTTATGAACGGCAACCTTTTAATCCGCCAGTTAAATGACACGTGTACAGGCCCCAGGCAAGTGTTAGCTAACCTTCCGACCGCCATTTTTCCTTTTGCGTGTCCCAACTTTGTGTGGTGAGCTGCCTGTCAGAAGTTGCTTTTAAATCGAAACCACACCTATTCAAAAAGTTTTCAGGTGTTTTAACATAGCAGTGTAGGTACGTGACAACAAATTTGTTTAGCAAGGTAACATATTTGTTGTTTTTTTTAATATATTTTTGGTGCATGGCAAACTGACTCTCGAGACTGTCGTTTCCGAATTCCCCTCCCGCATTAGATTCAGTAGGGAATGCCTACAAATACTGATATGTACCTTTATGGTTATGAGCTGGATCTAGAAGTGACTTAACTTGTTTGGCCGTGGTGCGAGCGACAGTTGAACTCTTGTCTATCTGACACACAGTGTCGTTTACTCACATTTTTCAGTTTTTCACTATTTACATAACTATCCTAGCCGACACTTATTTCAAAAGACCATTCTAGCCGCTCCCATCACACTGAAAGTTTTTCCCAAAATTTGGCCGACAAACAGGTCGGTTTGTGTGTGTGTGAAAGGAGGGATGGGAGGGGGGGGGGGAAGGTTAGGACTCACACTAATAAACCAGTTCGCTGATATTTCTGGAACATTCTCAAAGCGGGTAAACTTTAATGTATGTTCGCATCTTGTGTGTCAGATCATGCTGTTGGGACTGCAGACTTTGCTATCTTTTCTGGCCAGCTTTTTGTTGGTTAAAGGTGACAACATCACCTACCACCACAACTACAAGCGCAGTTTTACAGCCACTTCTGTGGTAAGTCTGTCTTTGAAATCTTGAAGAATCTTTAACAAAACAGTGAAGAAAACAAGAATGCACATACACGCATAAAACATTATTTTTTTTTTAAATACAGAAAAAAAAGAAAAAAAAAAGAAATCATACATTTTAAAAAAAGTTAATTAATTAATGTATATATATATATATATATATATATATATATATATATATATATATATATATATATATATATATATATATATATATATATATATATATATATATATATATATATATATATATATAAAAAACAATAGATCAATAAAATCATAAAATAAATCATAAAATCAATAAATCGATAAATCGATAAATCAATAAACCAATAAATCAATAAATCAATAAACCAATAAATTTAATAAATCAAAAAATATAAAAACCCAATTAATCAAGTAATCAAATAATCAAATAATCAAGTAATCAAATAATCAAATAATCAAATAATCAAATAATCAAATAATCAAATAATCAAATAATCAAATAATCAAATAATCAAATAATCAAATAATCAATGAATCGAAGAATCGATGAATCAATGAAGCAAATAATCAATTAATCAATTAATCAATTAATCAATTAATCAATTAATCAATTAATCAATTAATCAATTAATCAATTAATCAATTAATCAATTAATCAATTAATCAATTAACCAATTAACCAATTAACCAATTCATCAATTCATCAATTCATCAATTCATCAATTCATCAATTCATCAATTCATCAATTCATCAATTCATCAATTCATCAATTCATCAATTCATCAATTCATCAATTCATCAATTCATCAATTCATCAATTCATCAATTCATCAATTCATCAATTCATCAATTCATCAATTCATCAATTCATCAATTCATCAATTCATCAATTCATCAATTCATCAATTCATCAATTCATCAATTCATCAATTCATCAATTCATCAATTCATCAATTCATCAATTCATCAATTCATCAATTCATCAATTCATCAATTCATCAATTCATCAATTCATCAATTCATCAATTCATCAATTCATCAATTCTTCTATTCATCAACTCATCTATTCATCTATTCATCTATTCATCTATTCATCTAATAATCAATTCATCAATTCATCAATTCATCAATTCATCAATTCATCAATTCATCAATTCATCAATTCATCAATTCATCAATTCATCAATTCATCAATTCATCAATTCATCAATTCATCAATTCATCAATTCATCAATTCATCAATTCATCAATTCATCAATTCATCAATTCATCAATTCATCAATTCATCAATTCATCAATTCATCTATTCATCTATTCATCAATTCATCTATTCATCTATTCATCTATTCATCTATTCATCTAATAATCTATTCATCTATTCATCTATTCATCTATTCATCTATTCATCTATTCATCTATTCATCTATTAATCTTTTAATCTATTCATCTATTAATCTTTTAATCTATTAATCTATTCATCTATTAATCTATTAATCTATTAATCTATTAATCTATTAATCTATTAATCTATTAATCTATTAATCTATTAATCTATTAATCTATTAATCTATTAATCTATTAATCTATTAATCTATTAATCTATTAATCTATTAATCTATTAATCTATTAATCTATTAATATATTAATCTATTAATCTATTAATCTATTAATCTATTAATCTATTAATCTATTAATCTATTAATCTATTAATATATTAATCTATTAATCTATTAATCTATTAATATATTAATATATTAATATATTAATATATTAATCTATTAATATATTAATCTATTAATCTATTAATATATTAATATATTAATATATTAATATATTAATATATTAATGTATTAATATATTAATATATTAATATATTAATATATTAATAGATTAATCTATTTATCAATGAATGAATGAATCAATCAATCAATCAAGCAATAAAAAACAAATAAATGATTTAACGATTGAAGGATTGAACAATTGTACGATTGTACGATTGTATGATTGTGTCATATAATTGTATGATTAGTTGTATGATTGACTGTATAATTGTATAATTGTATAATTGTATAGTTGTATTATTGTATAATTGTACGGTTGTACAATGGTACGGTTGTACGATTGGACGATAGTATTGAACGAACTAACGATCGAACGAACTAATGAGATACTGAAATAACAAAATAACGAACTAACGAACTAACTAATGAACTAACGAAATACCGAAGTATTGAACTAACGAAGGAACGAACGAAAGAACGGCATAGCCTTAGCTTTGTTTTTCCTAATAGCGATGTTTTGCTCCATTTCAATACTTCCTCTATACACTGTTCCAAGGTAGCAAAAATATTATAAGCAATCACACATTTTTAACAGTACCTAAAATGTCAAATTTGTTACACATTCACAGTATCGCTTACCTTACTACGGCCAAATTCGGTATACGATTTACGATGGTAAAGAGATTATTATTGATGGAAGCCTCCCTTCTAGAGGAACAAGGTAAAAGTTTGTTTTCCAACAGATTTGAGTCCTTGATTTGTGGACATTTCGGTGCGATAGTAGACTTTTTGTAGGCAGCCACAAATTAAATTAGCCCGGCTTGGCGAAACTACGATGCCGCCAGACCCCGCAATGCGAGAAGGGATGCTTATGGGGTTTAAAATCAAACAAAAATTATTTTTTTTAAATTCCAAAACGTTTTGGTAGTAAAAACAACAAAAAAACATAGCTACTACAGCAGTCTATGCTCTACAGTAACTAAACTGCTCTGCTGCCTAGAATAATACTCAATGTAGTGTGAAAGATGTGCAACCGCTCAAGCCACTATCATGACTTAGAGTTCTTCTTTATCTAGTCCTTTTATATAAAAGCCCATGTGCGCAATTCTCTCTCTCTCTCTCTCTCTCTGTGTCTCTCTGTCCGCAAAATATGTTCACAATCTATCATATTAGTATCTTCAGCGATATATGGAGAACTTGATACGGACTTTAGTTGGAAAAAATATGGTAGATGTTTTAAATGTATAAACAGAATTTTATTTAAAGAAGTAAAATAAAAAATAAAGGCATATTCGAATGTATAAATACATTTTAATTATGTAACCGGAAAAGTGTTGATAGTTGTGGCAAGAACGCGATTAACAATCACGTCACAAATGTTTACACTAAGGAAAGAAAACAAAACTAGTGGCATCATCTTCCGATTTCAGAATTTAAAGAAAGGAACTATTTCATTCAAATTTGATTTAGATCTAAGGAATCTACGTTCGCTATGAAATGTATACAATACAATTTTCTAGGCCTAAACTTATAAAATTTACTTTATCTATTAGGATTCTAGATCTAGAGATTCTACATCTAGAGATCTACGGAAAAACTGGTCAGATTCTATTTAGATCTAGAATCTATTCCAAAAATAAATTTTTATACTAAACTATTTGAGGCCTCAATTATTTTATAGACATCTTTGTATTTAATTTAATCTGAAAGAATATGGCATATTCGCGTAAGTTTCTTAAGTAGGCCTACGTCTTTTATTCTCCGTGATTTCTAATGTGCCTAAATAGCTGAGATGATAGTGTAATTGATACCTTATGGGTGGTACGAGTTTGAAACCCATCAAGTTTTTTTTTTTTTTTTTTTAATTTTTTTTTTGTATGTGAATGATAAAGTTGTATATCAGGACTTGGGAACTTGGGAGGACACGGGGAGAGTGAAGTAGAGATCACCTGTTTCTGTCTTTTCAGTATATGAAGGGATAGTGTGGTCAGATCCATGCTCAGCCGAAATTGGTATTTTTAAAAGACAAAAACAACATAACTACAATTGAACAGCCGGGTTTTCAACGGAATCTTTTAAGTCTCTTAATCAGCGAGTGCATTTAATATGGTATTGTGTTAACTAATACTGTGTATAATATGGTTGTAAGTTTTCTAATAGGTATTTGTAGTCTATGCTATTTTAAACAAGTCTAAACACAGACAGTAGGCCCTACATAAAACAAAACCCCTTCTTTTTCAATGTTTCATTCCAATGCTCTTGATCAATAAAATGTTTCTTTTCCTAAGTTTCCGATAAAGACTTTTTAAAAAGCTGAATTACAATTCATTTCATTACTCACTTTCACTAGAAATATACATTTTCTTCAGACATCTCCACCGTTTCTTCCCCTTTCACCTCCAAACGAAATCGAAAAAGTAATTCTAAAAGAAAAACCTAGTAGCCTATTTGTAAAGAGAAGAGAGCTATAGGTCACCAGAATTGACCGTGTAACAGGTACCTATGACTAGTCTAATAGAGGTGCTCATAACGCTCCTTTAAACATGTGTGTACTAAGCAAAGTAAATTATCAATTGCTTCTTTTACATATGATTTTTTTTTAAACACATAGTGTAGAGTGACATTGCTTCTGAACAGAATTAATTTAAGTTAATAACAAATAAAAAAAAAGTCAGGACAAAAAGAGCACGGGAACCCATACTGCATAGTCAAGCTTCGTTTATAAAATACTAGCCATCCCGGCCAGGAGCTGCACTGGCCTCTGTGAAAAAACAATCAGTAAAGGATCAAAGTGTTAAGCAGCATATATCCGGCACAGCCCGGCTTTGTGAATTATATTACCTTTTGAATTAACCATAGCCACAACTAACCACAACAAAAACACAAACGCAAACACAAACACAAACGCAAGCGCTAACGCAAACACAAAAACCAAAAGAAACACAAACACAAACGCGAACGCAAATACAAATGCAAACACAAATATAAATGTATACGCAAACAATAACGCACAACATAAACACAAATTTGAATGCATATAAAAGCATGATGCTCACGTTATAGCCCGAGGTGCCGAATCGCACTCGATTCATCTTAGTAAGCGACTTAAATACCTTATCTTATCCATAGCCTGTCGCACAGTTTAAACTGAAATTAGGTGCCATAGCGCTCAATGGAAGGACCTGGGCGCGATTTAGCAGTCTGTTAAGGCGCCGGAGGACGCCCTGAATTCGATTTAGTGAAGGACGATAGTAACACTTCTTATTCATAGTCTATTGCAACGTTTAAAACGAACGTATGCTCACAGAATAGACCAGGGCGCAAATCACAACTTGCTGGGGCGCCGATGGAAGCGTCTGATTCAATTTAGTAAATCATTATAACACCTCAAGCTTATCCGCACACGGAAAGATAGAAGTAAACATAAAAGGCAATTTAAGAGCGGTTTCTAAACTGTAATTGATTACAAATAACAATTGGTTATCAGTATGTTCAGCGTATAATATTAGTAAAAGGCAGTTTTTAAAATATCTTGGCTTTACCTACCATATCGCATTTTATCAATGTATGCTAATTATATATATATATATATATATATATATATATATATATATATATATATATATATATATATATATATATATATATATATATATAGTTTTTCAACAAGTTTTCTCTAAAGTTAAAATAAACTACTTCTTACTTGAGAAAAAGTGCATTTTCACAAATTTTCTATCTCTAATTTTCTCTGCCCGTTTAGTCGGCTGGGTTAAGGGTGCAAAAATTAGTAATTTTCTCATGGTGTAAGAGGGTGTAAAACTGTACTTACAAATGTTTTTTTGTCCTTGTCCCCCATCCCCCACCTCAATTTTATCAGGAGTGGTCTTAAACGAATAGATTTAATACAAAAAGATGCGTGTAGCTATTATTATTCATCTAACAAACTTGAGAAAGAATATTTGTCTTTAAACTAACCTAATTTCTTTAATTACCCCCCCCCCCCCTTTCCCGTCATTTGAATGTGGAAACGCGTATTTAAAAGTGCATGGAACTCTGAATAAATTACAAAAACATCCCACTTTAAGTACATTTTTGCTTTTGTTGTCCATGGTGCCACCCCAATCAGTGGTGTAAACCGCTACGGTCCTCACCCTCGCACCCCCTTGTGACGCCTCTGACCTCCAGGTCTGATTTCATATCTCTGATGATTCGTGTTCCACGAGGTTTGATATCATTTGCGATATAAGCTTCAACTTTTTTTTTCTTACGGTAAACAATGGGATCCTTTGTCGTTAAATGTGGATGGATGCATTCACAACAATTTAATCATTCTACTTTGATGTTACTTTATTTAACTGCAGCCCTTATACTTAAGTTTTTTTGGTTCTAGGACGACTTTTGAGCTATGCGATAACAACAGATGCTCCAACCATGTTCCAATCCACGTATCATTCCGACTGAACACAAACCAAATGATGGTCAGCTCTAAGACAGCTGGGAGGTGGAACCGGGAAATTAACGCGGGCTCGAACCCTGCGAGCAGAGGACAGTCTTTCCGCATCAAGTTCATCATTCACAGCAACAAGATCAGGGTAGGTCTGATGACTAGATCTTGTCACATTCGTATCACAACACAGACTGTCGAAGTAAGAAATTTGTATCAAATGTTCATAATATAGTCGAATAAGGTTTTAAAACGCATGTAAATCACTGAGATAGCATTATAGAATGAAGCGAGTAATTGGTCAGTTGCACAGTCACTAGAATAAAGATCAAGTCTACAAATGCTATCGACTAATTTCCTGCTTGGTCCCTGAATAGGATCTTTAACAAAATATCAGCCAACAAATCTCACCTTATCTCATTTTGAATGAAACAAAATATTCCCACACAAAATTGATCGCATACAAGATGATTTAGTTGAGTAACAAACGTTATCATAAATAGTTTAGAATAATAACGTAATTTTTATTACACTACCAACCAAATTATACCCAACACAAAATAACTTAACATATAATATATCTACAGATCTACAACAATCAGAGATTAGTGTATGATTTTATAAACCCCATTACCTTCGACAACATCAAATTTATCTCCATTCGTGATAGTGCCGCCGTGACTTCGATCGTGTATTCTGTGAGTGTCTATACATTTAGTAGAAAACCATAGTTAAGTTATGAAGTTAAATGTACTCATTTGTATATTATGTATGCCTATTACATAGCATTTCAACTGTTGGCACTTTTTAAACGAGTTCTTGATTTCCTATCCTAGATTTTATGACCTAAAACAGACGTTACCATAGAGTTTCATTTTTAATTTAGATATCGTATTTCTATAACTAAACTTAATTTCAAAATTGTTTATCTCTAATTTTGTAAAAAAAAACATTATTTTCCTCTTACAGATGACATTTCCCGTGAGTTTTAATTTTGAAATTGGTTTATCGAATTTTGAAAAAATATGATTACAGAAATATTATTTCTCTGTGATAAAGTTAATATTTGCAAAGATTTATAAATGTTAATACTTTTGTACAAACTTTATAAATTGTTCATATTAAACCTTTGATTTGTTTACACACAATAGGGACTAGGGCAGGTGTCGGCAACCTTTTGAGGCGTAAAGGCAAAATATTACAATTTACAAAATTTCTCAGTTTTTAAACTAACATTTTTATTTCAATGGTATTATATTTATTAAGAATTATATATAGATTATATATATATATATATATATATATATATATATATATATATATATATATATATATATATATATACTAGCTGCATACCCGTGCTACGCCACGGTGAATATTTTTTAAATGTACCAATTTCGGAACAGAACAGAACAAAACTAAACACAAACACAACGCAAACACAAACACACAATAAAACAAAACACAAACACTAAAGAAAGCGCAAACACAAACACAATGCAAGCACAAATGCAAACGCAAACTAAAAAAAACACAAACAAAACACAAATACAAACGCAACAAACAAACACAAAAGAAAAACAAACCCAAACACAATACAAACTCAAAACACAAATGCAAACGCAAAAAATACAAACGCAAACACAACTTTAATCCAAACATAAAGGCATTGTGTTCAAAGTTTAGCCCTTGGCGCCAATTTGCACTGAATGAACGGTTTTAAATCTCCCTGCTTGTCCGCAAACCGAAAGATAGAAATAAACATATAGCGAATTTAGGAACGGTATCTGTTGTTGGATAAAAATAATAATTAGTAAACAGTATGGTAACCCGGGATAATTCCATACACTACTTTTCTAAACAATTTGTAAAAAATAAAAAATTAACACTACCACAATATAATATTGAGGGTATAACTAGACATGCATTACTTATATAATAGCAAACAAATACTGAGATAAATACAAAAATACAGTCTCTAAACATTTCACTTTTATTACAAAAACATGGCAAGTGGGGCAATTCCACACACATTATGCAAATTTAAAAATTCATGTATTTAAAAATGTGTAAAAAAAAAAGCTCTTTTGCCATTGGAAACAATTTAGCATGGGGGCAACCACTCTTCATCACTGGGTGAGGAGAAAACCTCAATTTCTTCCTCCTGAATTCTGCTTTCATCTGTCATAGGCCGAAGTTATTCGTTTATAATTGCGGACCATTCTGAAATAAGAACAAAATTAAATGTTAGAAAGAGTAACTACTAATGAGTGTATGGGGATGTTTAGCTGTAAATATTGCATAAATTATAATAAATAATATAGGTACAGTAAAAATAATAATAGATAAAGAAATAAAAGAAGTCTGTGGCAATGTTATTTAATTTTAATAGCAGAGTCTTTTTAAAATTAAACACAGAATTTCTTCTAGGCTTCTCTTTTTACCGCCCCCCCCCCCCAAACGAAATGAAATTTATATAATTTATATAGAAAATATATACTTTTAACAGTGTCCGCCCCCCCGGAAGAAAAGTTTACCGCCCCCCCCCCCCCCCCGAAGATTTCAAGTGCCCCCCCCGGAGAAAAAAGTCTGGAAGAAACACTGATTAAAAAGTACTAGATCTAGTACTATTTAAGTACTTTTTAAAATTCAATCATGAGATGTAAATTACAGATTCAGCCACCACCAGTTTAAATGGTTTAAAATCATAGTTAAACCCTCTAAAGAGTATAAAAAGCAACATGGGACATTCCAAACTATAGGGTATGGAACTGCCCCAGATCATGTGTGTGGAATTGCCCCACACCTACTATTTGGAAAAATATGATTTCCTGTTCTAAATTAAAGGCTGAATCTAGCATCATTAACTGTTACTATTAAAAAAAATGATTAAGCTTTCATAAAATCAATAAATAATTGACAAAAATTAAAAATGAGACAAAATATTTTTAAAAAGTGCAGGGGTTGTACCTACGTAAAGGTGTTTGTAGATAGATGCAGATAAAATTAAAATTCTTGCTCTGATTGTAGATGAACGCTTCTCTAACAGTATCAGAAAGTACAAGAAAAGACCTCTTAGAAACAGGAAATAGTAACTTTTAATTAAACTTTACTCCCATTTAAAATAGAGAGTATTCAGTATATAGTGTGTGGAATTACCCCGTGTGTGGAATTACCCCGGCTTACTCTACGTTCAGTAAATAATATAAATAAAAGGCACTATTTGAAATATCCGTGTTTTACCTACCATCGCTTCATTTTATCAATTCATGTTAATTATAATAATCCAACAACATCGTCCCTTGGACATCCGCAGTATTTGAATTCACATAGCGTTCCCAACAGATTAGATTGATTAGATAGATTAGATAGATTAGATAGATTAGATAGATTAGATAGATTAGATAGATTAGATAGATTAGATAGATTAGATAGATTAGATAGATTAGATAGATTAGATAGATTAGATAGATTAGATAGATTAGATAGATTAGATAGATTAGATAGATTAGATAGATTAGATAGATTAGATAGATTAGATAGATTAGATAGATTAGATAGATTAGATAGATTAGATAGATTAGATAGATTAGATAGATTAGATAGATTAGATAGATTAGATAGATTAGATAGATTAGATAGATTAGATAGATTAGATAGATTAGATAGATTGATTAAATTGATAGATTGATAGAGACAGACAGATAGATAGACAGCGAAACTATTATTATCTATAATTTAAGCGGGCTGCTAGTTTGTCAGTCTTTCCTTCATCGCTATAGATTTTGAAACCATAAAAGTAAACATTGCACCATGCAGTGCTTTTCAGTGCATCACAGTTTCTTATTATAAGTGTTAGAGTAGGGTTTGTTTATATAACAACGTAAAGTTGATTTATATTTGCCACTGTTTTTACTATTTTGCATAACGTAAAGAAAATATTAAATACACGCACATTGCTAAAATATATTAAATAGATCAATGTCAAATATCATTTTCGTTTATATTACTAGAAAAGGCGGATACGTTTTTATTAACAGTAGGTTGAAAAAATTAATTAATTTAACTTTATTTGTAATTTTTGCAAGGGAGGTAATTTAAAAATAAATTTAACTCATCAATAATTTAAGTTATTATTTTTTTTATTACTACCACATTGATTATTATATGTTAAGGTTCGTAAGTAACATAGAAAAATGTTAAGATTATTTATATTATTTTCTAATTAGTCTATGATCTCTCAAATCACTATTTTTTCGGTGTTAACAGATGGTGAAATTTTAGAATTATAGTATAGACTATAGAGAATGCTGGAAAGGCTCTCTCTGGGCGCAGACGCCTGGGAAAAGCATGTTTTTCGTTGGTGATTCTAATTACATTGCCAATGTGTTTTCTAAGAACCATAAAAGTAAACACCACTTGCCGTACATTTATTAGCATCACATAGTTTTATTGTAAGTTATGGAGTAGGATCTATTTATGTGACTTAAATTTTTTTATGCTAGAAAGGCTCTGTTTGGGCACGGACGCCTAGGAAAGCGTATTGTTCGGTGGTGATTCAAATGTTGAGGTTGTGTTGTGGTTGTGTTGTGGTTGTGTTGTGGTTGTGTTGAGGTTGTGTTGTGGTTGTGTTGTGGTTGTGTTGTGGTTGTGTTAAGGTTGTGTTGTGGTTGTGTTGTGGTTGTGTTAAGGTTGTGTTGTGGTTGTGTTGTGGTTGTGTTTACCAGCGGAGCACGGGTATGCAGCTAGTAGATAATATAACGCTGGTGGTAGTGTGTCAATCATTCCGTCACCGCTATAGATTTTGGAACAATAAAAGTAATCCTCGAACAATGCGGTGCTTTAAAATTGCATCGCATTGTCTTATTATAAGAAGAGATTATTTATATATCGACTTAAAATTTATGTATATTTGACACTTTTACACTGTTTTTATGCTTTTGCATAACCTGAAGAAAATATAAAAATATATTAAACGGATCAATGTCAAATATTTTTGCTCAGATTTCTAGAAAAAATGGATACATTTTAAGGGTAAAAAAAACTAATTAATTAAAATCTTTTATAATTTTGCCAGTAATTTAAAAAGAAATTCAACTCACACTAATAAAAAATGTGAATGCAAATTCCGCAGACGTGTACGAGGGCATTATTGCTGGAATATTATAATTAGCATGGATTGATAATTAAGTTGTGTTTAATATGCGTAAGCGTTTTCGGTTTTTTTTTTTGTGTTTGCATTAATTGTTTTTGCGTTTGCATTGTGTTTGCGTTTTCTTTTTTTTTTTCAAAATACGTATCTTTTTCTATGCATATATCTTTTCTACGTGGACATGTACATGTATATTTAGTGGCAGATTGCAGATATAGGTGCAACGACTTTCTATATTATTCTTCCGTTAAACAGAATTCAAACACTGTTATTCCAAGATCAGCACACGGACAGTATATCATTTTACAAGCCACACCCACAAGTGCTGAGAGGTAAAAGATTTTCTGTCCAACTAGATGCCGTATATTTCGTTTGTATTTCGTTTGTCCTTCACCAATTTTGTTCATTTGTCTATTTCTCAACTGTATATTGTTATGTTTGTCCGTCTTAAAATTTGTTTGGCTTCGTCTACGTTTGTTATAGCAAGCCAGGTTTTGTTTATTTTTACCTAAGTTTGTTATAGCGACCCAAGATTTGTTTAGGTTTAACTAAGTTTGTTATAGCGACCCAAGATTTGTTTAGGTTTAACTAAGTTTGTGATAGCCGACCATGTTTTGTTTAGGTTTAACTAAGTCTGTGATAGCCGACCATGTTTTGTTTAGGTTTAACTAAGTCTGTGATAGCCGACCATGTTTTGTTTAGGTTTAACTAAGTTTGTGACAGCCGACCATGTTTTGTTTAGGTTTAACTAAGTCTGTGATAGCCGACCTTGTTTTGTTTAGGTTTAACTAAGTCTGTGATAGCCGACCTTGTTTTGTTTAGGTTTAACTAAGTCTGTGATAGCCGACCATGTTTTGTTTAGGTTTAACTAAGTTTGTGATAGCCGACCTTGTTTTGTTTAGGTTTAACTAAGTCTGTGATAGCCGACCATGTTTTGTTTAGGTTTAACTAAGTCTGTGATAGCCGACCATGTTTTGTTTAGGTTTAACTAAGTTTGTGACAGCCGACCATGTTTTGTTTAGGTTTAACTAAGTCTGTGATAGCCGACCTTGTTTTGTTTAGGTTTAACTAAGTCTGTGATAGCCGACCTTGTTTTGTTTAGGTTTAACTAAGTTTGTTATAGCCGACCATGTTTTGTTTAGGTTTAACTAAATTTGTGATAGCTGACCATGTTTTGTTTAGGTTTAACTAAGTTTGTTATAGCGACCCAAGATTTGTTTAGGTTTAACTAAGTTTGTGATAGCCGACCTTGTTTTGTTTAGGTTTAACTAAGTTTGTTATAGCGACCCAAGATTTGTTTAGGTTTAACTAAGTTTGTGATAGCGACCCAAGATTTGTTTAGGTTTAACTAAGTTTGTTATAGCCGACCATGTTTTGTTTAGGTTTAACTAAGTTTGTAATAGCCAACCATGTTTTGTTTAGGTTTAACTAAATTTGTGATAGCCGACCATGTTTTGTTTAGGTTTAACTAAATTTGTGACAGCCGACCATGTTTTGTTTAGGTTTAACTAAATTTGTGACAGCCGACCATGTTTTGTTTAGGTTTACCTTGTCGATCGAGTGCCAGCAAGACGTCACCATGCAGCTTGAGGCCTTGTTTAACTTCGAAGGAGACGAGAATGAAGTCCTTGTCACCAAACGCATCAGCAACGTTTGGGACACTGAGTACCAATGCTGCTGCGCTTTTCCCTTCACAGTCAACACGGCTTTCACAATGAGGATTATGTTCACGACCACGGATATTGAGGTACATGTGCAGTGCGTTAAGAAAACGCACTAGTATCAATCTGAACCTGAGCATACACACGAATATAAACCTATGCGCGTAGATGAAATTAACATACACAAACAATAAATTGCCAAAGTACACATGTAAGTACACAGTGACAGTGGCAGTGGCAGTCGCAATAACAGTGGCAGTGGCAGTCGCAATCACAGTCGCAGTCGCAGTCGCAGTCACAATCTGAATCAGAATCAGAATCGCAAATCGCAAATCGCAAATCGCAAATCGCAAATCGTAATCGCAATCACAATCACAATTACAATTACAATTACAATTACAATTACAATTACAATTACAATTACAATAACAATAACAATAACAATAACAATAACAATAACAATAACAATAACAATAACAATAACAATTACAATTACAATTACAATTACAATTACAATTACAATTACAATTGCAATTGCAATTGCAATTGCAATTGCAATTACAATTACAATTACAATTACAATTACAATTACAATTACAATTACAATTACAATTACAATTACAATTACAATTACAATTACAATTACAATTACAATTACAATTACAATTACAATTACAATTACAATTACAATTACAATTACAATTACAATTACAATTACAATTACAATTACAATTACAATTACAATTACAATTACAATTACAATTACAATTACAATTACAATTACAATTACAATTACAATTACAATTACAATTACAATTACAATTACAATTACAATTACAATTACAATTACAATTACAATTACAATTACAATTACAATTACAATTACAATTACAATTACAATTACAATTACAATTACAATTACAATTACAATTACAATTACAATTACAATTACAATTACAATTACAATTACAATTACAATTACAATTACAATTACAATTACAATTACAATTACAATTACAATTACAATTACAATTACAATTACAATTACAATTACAATTACAATTACAATTACAATTACAATTACAATTACAATTACAATTACAATTACAATTACAATTACAATTACAATTACAATTACAATTACAATTACAATTACAATTACAATTACAATTACAATTACAATTACAATTACAATTACAATTACAATTACAATTACAATTACAATTACAATTACAATTACAATTACAATTACAATTACAATTACAATTACAATTACAATTACAATTACAATTACAATTACAATTACAATTACAATTACAATTACAATTACAATTACAATTACAATTACAATTACAATTACAATTACAATTACAATTACAATTACAATTACAATTACAATTACAATTACAATTACAATTACAATTACAATTACAATTACAATTACAATTACAATTACAATTACAATTACAATTACAATTACAATTACAATTACAATTACAATTACAATTACAATTACAATTACAATTACAATTACAATAACAATTACAATTACAATTACAATTACAATTACAATTACAATTACAATTACAATTACAATTACAATTACAATTACAATTACAATTACAATTACAATTACAATTACAATTACAATTACAATTACAATTACAATTACAATTACAATTACAATTACAATTACAATTACAATTACAATTACAATTACAATTACAATTACAATTACAATTACAATTACAATTACAATTACAATTACAATTATAATTATAATTACAATTACAATATATTTTTAAAAAGAAAGCCTAGTTATTCAGTACACTACTATTAATAATACTAATATGGTTTTAGCCTATTAGAATGTTTTGATAGGCCTACACTACAGTGTTAAATTAAAAATAGAAATGAGCTCCGTGTGTTAAGAATAGGCTTAGTGGCCTACTGTTTTTGTCTCCTGATTAAAATTTACCCTGCCTTAATTTTCGATATTATATGCAGAAGTATGAGCTATTACTAGTCTACGGGTATACATTAAGTACATAATATTATTGTAGGCCAGACAATTTTCTGCAATACATATAACTAACAAATCGTACTACTAGAACTAAACTTATGCATTAAAAACGTTACAAAACCAAGTAAACTAGCCTGCTACTTCTATCGTCATTCTTGTTATTCTTTTACGACTAAAAATTTAAACATTTAACTTCAATATTTGCTAGGTAAACCATATGTTACCTTCATCTAAATGTGTACAGGGCCGGCGCTACATATAAAGCGAACTAGGCGGTCGCCTAGGGCGCTTTAAAAAGCACCAAATAATTAATTAACTTTTTATATATTAAATAAACTATAGGCAGGGTAATATTCAAAGGCGTAGCAATCTATTTCAATGCCCAGAACTAACTATCTATTTTGCACCCCCTCCTCAAGTTAAGCCTATATTTAGCTATTCGCGTTGGTGAAAATGCGCCCTCCCCCCCCCCCACCTCCATCATTTGGAAAGGTCGGGGCGTTTTTTATGTCACATTGCCTTTATATTTTAGTGTCTCACAATTGATGTAGAAAACAATTAAATATGTCCATAATGCTAACTAGCAGTCAATATCTTTTATTTCGATGGTATACAATTCAGTAATGAGCTTTTTATATCCTTGTCCACCACGTTTTGCGCTCCATTTAGGTCGTTGGCTATGGCGTCAGCCCCATCCGCACTTTTCTAGTCACGCCTCTGTTAATATAATAATATAACTATTGTATTTAATCTAAATCTTTTAATTTTAATCATTTCAGATGATTATGTAATTTTAATGTTGATTTAGTGATCTCTCTAGCGCAAGACGCGACCTTGCAAAGCACGCACAATTTTCATTTCTAGTCGGGCTTGTAAGTCTCGTTTTCTATAACTTTGCATTAGAAATCTCGATAGCCAGGGAGAGATTTAGATTTTGAAACTAAATTAATTGTTGGCACCACAAGATCCTAAACAGAATTTTAAATTAGAAATCTTGTATATGGGTATACAGTCTATTGAAGAGAGGTTCCAACAATTAGAAGAATATAATATTCTATTTGGCTATCTTTATGATATATCCAATATCAACCAAAAGACAACTGCGGATATAGGCCTACTCAGTGACTGCAAACATTCAGATACGTCGTTAATGCATAACGCTAATTAAGATATTGATGCTGATGATCTTTGCAATGAGCTTCAAGTAGTAGCTCGAAGGCTTCCAAAGCCTATGTCCCCATCATATGTGCTTCTCTATACAGCACAACGAAAATTGGAAGATTGTGTACCAAATGTTGTTTCCTAGAGAATATTATTAACTTTTCCAGTGTCCGTGTCTAGTGGAAAGCGCAGTTTTTGAAAATTGAAATTAATTACAGGGGTGGAACTACTATACCGCGAGGGGGGGGGGGGGGGGAAGAAAGTAGTAGGGGGGGGAACAGGTCGTTTAGGGGGAGGGGGAGCAAAGTCCGACACAACAAAGTAACTTTTATGCACCTTGATGGACTAGTGATTTTATGAAAAACAAAAACTAAATCGGCCGCAGCAGTGATTGTTCTATAGTAAATAATACCCACGGTTGCGTAAATAACAAAAAACTACATGAACAATAGGCAAACTTTAAGTCACTTCCATGACATTATTAATAACTTTCGTCGGGCATAAATGAGGTATTTTAAAACAGGATTATTTCAGTCTAGAAATAAGTGCTTCATCCTTTCTCTGTGTGGTTTGTCTATGGTGGATATACTTTGCAATGAAATAGGTTAAAAGGTTTAATTTAAATTTAGTGAGGCAGCCTACTTTATATATATATATATAAATAAATAAATAAATAAATATATATATATATATATATATATATATATATATATATATATATATATGTATATGTATATGTATATATATATATATATATATATATATATATATATATATATATATATATATATATATAAATTGCCGGGGGGGGGGGCGTTTTAATAAATTTTGCCTATGGCGCTAAATAACCTGGCGCGGGCACTGTATGGATAAATATAATTTTTTGAGAACACTGCGATAATGTTTTATCAATAAAATACTTAAAAAAAACTTTTTAAAAAACCACGTTTTTCTTGTGGACTAAAAAGTAGAAAATAAATTTTCATACATTTGATGACAAAAAACGTGGGTACGTTCACCATCAAATTTCCCGACCCATCTGCCCGACCCACGTTTTTTGTCATCAAATGTATGAAAATTTATTTTCTACTTTTTAGTCCACAAGAAAAACGTGGTTTTTTAAAAAGTTTTTTTTAAGTATTTTATTTTCTCCTTTTTAGTCCGTTGCTACACATGAAAAACGTGGTTTTTAAAAAGTTTTTTATATAGATTATTTTCTACTTTATCTAATCACTTGATTAAGTATGACTTGACTAAGTGTTTTTAAATACACGGACTAAAAAAATCTTGAGCGACCGATACGCTTTAAACAGAGAAAGGGTGTAATTTACGTTGCTGGCGTGGAGATCTACTCACGAATCACGTGATCAAATCTCCCATAAACAAACAAATAAACGCGAAGCTGAGTTAAGGAAAAACGTGTTTATGTGTATTTTAGCATGCCCAGCGTACCAACCGTGTCACCGTTAACAATGTGTTATCGTGTCCGTTCTCCTTTTTAGTCCGTTGCTACACATAAAAAACGTGGTTTTTTAAAAAGTTTTTTTTAAGTATTTTATTTTCTCCTTTTTAGTCCGTTGCTACACATGAAAAACGTGGTTTTTAAAAAAGTGTTTATAATTACACGGACTAAAAATCTTGAGCGACCAGGATTCGAACCTGGGTTGTCGCGGCCACAAAGCGAAGTACTAACCACTATACGATCACGGCCAGCGCGCTCACATCGATTGGGGTCGAAGTAACTGTGTCAATAGGCCTCAAGTCTTGTCGGTATCTTTAGAAATCATGTCCTCAATTTTATGGTCCTTGGGGCGTAATTAAATTAAGCTAATTACGGTCACTAATTGCTAGTTTTTAAGATTGCATCTGAAATTGTTAGGCGAAAGTAGCATGCATGCAAAATTTCAGGTCTCTAGAGCAATCAGAAGTGGGCTAATTTTCGATGTCAATTTTAACAACAAACATCCAAACAACCAAACAAACAAACGCGAAGCTGAGTTAAGAATAAAATACTTAAAAAAAACTTTTTAAAAAACCACGTTTTTCTTGTGGACTAAAAAGTAGAAAATAACTATTTACATACATTTGATGACAAAAAATGTGGGAACGTTCACCATCAAATTTCCCGACCCATCTGCCCGACCCACGTTTTTTGTCATCAAATGTATGTAAATAGTTATTTTCTACTTTTTAGTCCACAAGAAAAACGTGGTTTTTTAAAAAGTTTTTTTTAAGTATTTTATTTTCTCCTTTTTAGTCCGTTGCTACACATGAAAAACGTGGTTTTTAAAAAGTTTTTTATATAGTTTATTTTCTACTTTATCTAATCACTTGATTAAGTATGACTTGACTAAGTGTTTTTAAATACACGGACTAAAAAAATCTTGAGCGACCGATACGCTTTAAACAGAGAAAGGGTGTAATTTACGTTGCTGGCGTGGAGATCTACTCACGAATCACGTGATCAAATCTCCCATAAACAAACAAATAAACGCGAAGCTGAGTTAAGGAAAAACGTGTTTATGTGTATTTTAGCATGCCCAGCGTACCAACCGTGTCACCGTTAACAATGTGTTACCGTGTCCGTTCTCCTTTTTAGTCCGTTGCTACACATGAAAAACGTGGTTTTTAAAAAAGTGTTTATAAATACACGGACTAAAAATCTTGAGCGACCAGGATTCGAACCTGGGTTGTCGCGGCCACAACGCGAAGTACTAACCACTATACGATCACGGCCAGCGCGCTCACATCGATTGGGGCCGAAGTAACTGTGTCAATAGGCTTCAAGTCTTGTCGGTATCTTTAGAAATCATGTCCTCAATTTTATGGTCCTTGGGGCGTAATTAAATTAAGCTAATTACGGTCACTAATTGCTAGTTTTTATGATTGCATCTGAAATTGTTAGGCGAAAGTAGCATGCATGCCAAATTTCAGGTCTGTAGAGCAATCAGAAGTGGGCTAATTTTCGATGTCAATTTTAACAACAAACATCCAAACAAACAAACGCGAAGCTGAGTTAAGAATAAAATACTTAAAAAAAACTTTTTAAAAAACCACGTTTTTCTTGTGGACTAAAAAGTAGAAAATAACTATTTACATACATTTGATGACAAAAAACGTGGGTACGTTCACCATCAAATTTCCCGACCCATCTGCCCGACCCACGTTTTTTGTCATCAAATGTATGTAAATAGTTATTTTCTACTTTTTAGTCCACAAGAAAAACGTGGTTTTTTAAAAAGTTTTTTTTAAGTATTTTATTTTCTCCTTTTTAGTCCGTTGCTACACATGAAAAACGTGGTTTTTAAAAAGTTTTTTATATAGTTTATTTTCTACTTTATCTAATCACTTGATTAAGTATGACTTGACTAAGTGCTTTTAAATACACGGACTAAAAAAATCTTGAGCGACCGATACGCTTTAAACAGAGAAAGGGTGTAATTTACGTTGCTGGCGTGGAGATCTACTCACGAATCACGTGATCAAATCTCCCATAAACAAACAAATAAACGCGAAGCTGAGTTAAGGAAAAACGTGTTTATGTGTATTTTAGCATGCCCAGCGTACCAACCGTGTCACCGTTAACAATGTGTTACCGTGTCCGTTCTCCTTTTTAGTCCGTTGCTACACATGAAAAACGTGGTTTTTAAAAAAAGTGTTTATAAATACACGGACTAAAAATCTTGAGCGACCAGGATTCGAACCTGGGTTGTCGCGGCCACAACGCGAAGTACTAACCACTATACGATCACGGCCAGCGCGCTCACATCGATTGGGGCCGAAGTAACTGTGTCAATAGGCTTCAAGTCTTGTCGGTATCTTTAGAAATCATGTCCTCAATTTTATGGTCCTTGGGGCGTAATTAAATTAAGCTAATTATGGTCACTAATTGCTAGTTTTTATGATTGCATCTGAAATTGTTAGGCGAAAGTAGCATGCATGCCAAATTTCAGGTCTGTAGAGCAATCAGAAGTGGGCTAATTTTCGATGTCAATTTTAACAACAAACATCCAAACAAACAAACAAACGCGAAGCTGAGTTAAGAAAAACGTTTTAAAAACGTTTTAAATAAAATACTTAAAAAAAACTTTTTAAAAAACCACGTGGGTACGTTCACCAACAAATTTTCCGACCCATCTGCCCGACCCACGTTTTTTGTCATCAAATGTATGTAAATAGTTATTTTCTACTTTTTAGTCCACAAGAAAAACGTGTTTTTTTAAAAAGTTTTTTTTAAGTATTTTATTTTCTCCTTTTTAGTCCGTTGCTACACATGAAAAACGTGATTTTTAAAAAGTTTTTTATATAGTTTATTGTCTACTTTATCTAATCACTTGATTAAGTATGACTTGACTAAGTGTTTTTAAATACACGGACTAAAAAAATCTTGAGCGACCGATACGCTTTAAACAGAGAAAGGGTGTAATTTACGTTGCTGGCGTGGAGATCTACTCACGAATCACGTGATCAAATCTCCCATAAACAAACAAATAAACGCGAAGCTGAGTTAAGGAAAAACGTGTTTATGTGTATTTTAGCATGCCCAGCGTACCAACCGTGTCACCGTTAACAATGTGTTACCGTGTCCGTTCTCCTTTTTAGTCCGTTGCTACACATAAAAAACGTGGTTTTTTAAAAAGTTTTTTTAAAGTATTTTATTTTCTCCTTTTTAGTCCGTTGCTACACATGAAAAACGTGGTTTTTAAAAAAGTGTTTATAAATACCCGGACTAAAAATCTTGAGCGACCAGGATTCGAACCTGGGTTGTCGCGGCCACAACGCGAAGTACTAACCACTATACGATCACGGCCAGCACGCTCACATCGATTGGGGCCGAAGTAACTGTGTCAATAGGCCTAAAGTCTTGTCGGTATCTTTAGAAATCATGTCCTCAATTTTATGGTCCTTGGGGCGTAATTAAATTAAGCTAATTACGGTCACTAATTGCTAGTTTTTATGATTGCATCTGAAATTGTTAGGCGAAAGTAGCATGCATGCCAAATTTCAGGTCTCTAGAGCAATCAGAAGTGGGCTAATTTTCGATGTCAATTTTAACAACAAACATCCAAACAAACAAACGCGAAGCTGAGTTAAGAAAAACGTTTTAAAAACGTGTTAAAATAATGTTTACGTCACTCCACATGAAAAATCTGCCACTTCCAAGAGATATCCTAAAAATACGACCGTGTGCCCTGACAGTACTCCTAAGTATTCGTGTAAAAATTGATCTTATACAAAGACATTTTGATTAAAATTGAATTAATAGAATTTACACACACTTACCTCACTTACACACTCATTTTAAAAATTCAACTTCGATTAAAAATAATACAATTAAAGTGGTACTTATAACTACCATCAGTAGATAAAGGGTTAAAGAATTTAGTAGGATACACTGTAAAATAAATCCTTTACTAAAATCAGGTTCAAAAAGTGTGTATGTTTTATTGATGTTGTTTGTGTTGATGTGGTTTAATTGATTTGTTTTCATGCGTGTTTGTGTTGTTTTTTTGTTTTTTTTGGGGAAGCTTAAAAGTTTTTTTTTACTTTAGATGACTGTAGGAGATGGAGATGAATTCAGGTACACGCAGCCGCCTGTAAGCGGTTGCACAGAGGACAAACTTGTCTGGAGTCATCTGACTGTCTCCACAATGCACACCACGTGAACCATCTCATTTGGATGTCAATATAGCTGACAATCAAAAAATGTGTCTTGACAAGTGACAGACCAAATGACAAGACACTAACAATTGACAGACAGAATGACAAGACACTAACAATTGACAGACAGAATGACAAGACACTAACAATTGACATACCTAAGATACTGAGAATTGACAGACCTAATGACAAGATACTGAGAATTGACAGACCTAATGACAAGATACTGAGAATTGACAGACCGAATGACAAGATACTGACAATTGACAGACCAAATGACAAGATACTAACAAATGATCGACCAAATGACAAAATACTGACAATTGACAGACCAAATGACAAGATACTGACAATTGACAGACCAAATGTAGAGATACAGACAATTGACATACATAATGCTGTTATATTGACAATTGACTGACCGAATAATGTTTTTCTGCTGGGTAGATGTATTTATAGAAATGTTTTGGAAAGTCACTAGTAAAACTTCATTTTTTAACACTGCGGAGTCCTATTCGGTTGCCGCGTATAAACGTTTAAGCGACTGCGTGATAAAACTAACCAAAATTAAGGTACATAGTGTAATTCTAATTCAAATAATGATTCGTGAAAGAAATTGGACGTAGTTGTGTTATCTACCAAAACAATTTTCTTTTTCATTAAAAACGAAGTAATTAACTTTCTTTAATAAGAAAAGGATTACTTAAAATTTACAAATTATTATCTCAGTTATGTCTGGGTTTTAAGTTAAAGGGTAAAAAAATAGCCTTTTTACCACAGAGGTGTTTAGAAAATAATGGAGCGGAAAAAACTAGCTCCGGTAAAATTTGAACAAAAACTCCGGGCTTAAAAAATTAAAGAATAAATTTTTGAAATATTTATTTGGCCATTAAACAGGTGGAATATGCATTTTCAGTTAGCTGCTTTTCTGTAGTTTACAGTTAGCTGCTTTTCTGTAGATTAGCTTCCTTAGAGTCAGTTTCCGGGTAGTTAGGTTTCAAACATATTTTATAACCAATAACAAAATATTTTTTTAAAAATTTAATTGTTTATATTTATTTACGGTATAGGTCCTTTTTATTCTATTCTGTATATTCTATCCTATGGGTATTCTTAATTTTAACCACTTATTTTATAATTAATTCTAATTAATTTTAAATATAGTCTGAGCAAACTAATTACATTCCTACATGCATTCCTCCAATAACAAGCAGACCCTAGAATCAATTAATTCAACCCGCCTTTTCAATATTTACTAAATGTAAACTAAACAGTCTTTTCTGTATAGATTTTTAATAATATAAGGTAAAATAACAACTGAAAGAAAATTAATTATAGTGTTTAAAATCTTGTGTGAGAAAAGTAATTCTTCTTCGTCTATCTTAATTTTAATTTTGGAAGGTATTTTCTTCAACACTTATGTGTCAAAACTTTATGCGTTTTGTGTTTCGTTAAATCTGATTTCAATATGCTTTCCTATCTGGACCCATTTCCATCTAAGAATTTAACCTTTTTTCATCGTCATAGTGTAAAACGTTTAAAGTGCGCATTGTCAAATTAATGATTTAAAAATTAATATTCAAAGTGTTGTAAGACAATTTTCATTTTTTAAACTTATAATGACAATTTTTGGCATGTTAATCAAACAAAACTTTTAAAAAATGTATCACCTTTCACAAAAAAATAATTATGTCTGAAAGTAATTTACATTTAGTTATTTAGCACCCATTACGTCACCTGATACATTAGGCGAATACAATTACTTCCCTTTATAATAAACATTACATAAGGTGGAAACAATTATTTTTATTATTTTGTTTTGGTGTTGGGAAAAAAAAAACAATTTACATAATTAGCAGGGATTGATCAAGTGCAATGTGGTATGAATTTCAAATAGTGCCTTTAGTTTATTTTATACACTGGACGTACTGTTTACTAATTATTTTTGAATCAATAACAGTTAAGAAGCCAGCCCCTAAATGCCCTCTATGTTTACTTCTTTCCGTTTGCGGATGAGCTTGGGGTATTATAATTGTTCACTAAATTAAAACAAGCGAGTCCGCCGGCGCCCTGGCACGGCTCGATTTGGCAACCTGTGCTATCCTATAAGCGCTACGGTGCACAATTTCTTTTTAAACATTGCGATAGACTATGGATAAGATGGGTTACTATAGTCTTTAAGTAAATCAAATCCGGCATTCTGACAGGGTGCTATTTGGTGCCCCGGGCCTTCCCTTGTTCGCTATGGCGCTTACATTCGGTTAAGCGAGTGCAAAAGGCTATGAATAAGTTGGGGTACTATAGTCGTTTGCTAACTTGAATCAGGTGGTTCCGCCGGCGCCCCGGGCTAGACTGTCAGCACTTTGAGTTTATGTTTGCGTTTGTATTTTATTTGTGTTTGGGTTGGGTTGGCGTTTGTAGTTGGGTTTGTTTTGATTTGTTTTGTTTTCGTTTGCTTTTTGTTTTCTTTGTGTTTGTATTTGTGTTTGTGTTTGTGTTTGCATTTTTGTTATGTTTGCGTTTTTTTGTTTTGCATTTTGGTTTTTGCTGGTTCTGGTTAGGGTGGGCGATGCCGGGTATGTGCTGATTACTAAACACACATGTCGTGGTCATTTAAAGATAGGTTTTTCACAGAGGCGAACGCAGGGTCTGGCCGGAACGGCTAGTATATATATATATATATATATATATATATATATATATATATATATATATATATATATATATATATATATATATATATATATATATATATATATATATATATATATATATATATCTGTATAGGTATATATGTATATATCATACTGTTTGTAAATTCATGGACAGATACATTTCTGTAGAAGAAGTTTTTTGAGAGTTTCAACAACTTTATTTAGTTATAACAGAAGTGAAGCATTTATTTTATTCTTTTCGGTGATGGCACATTTTCTGTAACGCTGCATTATATATTATGTAAGGATTTCTTGTTTAGCAATTTTTTTGTAGTACTGTTTCAAGTTAATCTTAAAATATTTTTTTGAGAGCAAAGGGATGTGTTAAAGATAAAATAAGTTTTTGTACCCGTTATTTCGATTCAATATATTTTTTTTTAATTATACGCTAAAATCTGAAGTCGAAAATTTTGATGCACGTATTTTTTATCAAAATATTTACCATCAAATATAACACAATGCATTCATGTTAACAAAAAATGAATTGCTTTAAGCAAGAAATTCGTATAGGAACAATAAAAAAACTTAGATATAAAAAACAAACATTCAAACTTTCAAAAGCTTACTCATTTCTTTTATTGCAAACTAAAACCTTTTCAATGCATTTTTTAAAATTAATGTTAAAAACTTGTTGGAATTATTTAAATATAATAAAGAATAAATAGCATTTAACAGTTTTGTGAGACAAATCAAATCACTATATTAATTTAATATTAATTTAATTGTCATTTGATACTCTCATAATTTCCTAGGTTCTAAAAATTAAAAAAGTAGGTTTGTAATACCAAAATAAAAATGTTTTACTCGAAATAATTCTGTTGTGATAAAAAGCTTTTTTTCTCTTTAACTATATATATATATATATATATATATATATATATATATATATATATATATATATATATATATACATATATATATATATATATATATACATATATATATATATATATATATATATATATATATATATATATATATATATATATATATATGTATATATATATATATATATAAAGCAAAGTGGTCAGGTGCCCGATGGTGCCTTGGGGCAATACAACACGAGGGCCGGTGACGGTTGGCCGAAAAGTCCACGGAGAGGGGGTCAAAACTGACCTCGACTGACCGACGCCTTATATTGGCTTTATTACGAAAAAAAAACTTTTGCCGAACGACCCCCCTTGACATTTTGTGAGGTGGTAGAAGAACGCCTAAGGGTGTCACAAAAAACTCGGCTTATCTTGAAAAACTTCGTAAAGGGGTCAAAACTGACCAGTAGTATTTCCCTATATAATCTTTGTATTTTATGGGGAAAAAAGAGAGTAATTTCAACATATATTTTAGGGCACTTACGCTCTGCACATCTGGCTAATATTTTGCATGCACCTAGGTAAATGGATTGGCCTTTTCGGAAAACTGTCGGTTTGACTCAAAGCCCTCGGTGAGGGCTAAAACATGACAGCGAGTGAAAATCTCCTTATTTGAGCTAAATAACGGGGTGGTAGGAGAACACCTAGGGGTGTCAGAAAAAAAAAACTCGCCTTGTCCGGGAAAAATCTGAAAATGGGTCAAAACGTTTTTAAATTAAATTTTTTTTTGCACATTCGTTTTTGTCTGTCCTTTTTTGCGCACAAAGGGGAATTTGTTTTTGTCAGACGCACCTAACATGCTGAACGTTGCCTTTTTTTTACGTCACCAAAGAGCGTACCTTTTTTACTTTCTCGTATATACGAAGTATAGAGAAAGTCTTGTAATCGTGCAAAAAAAAAATCGAGATTTTTACAAATCTCGACGTTTTACACCTCACTGATACGGAAAAACATAATTTTGCAATCTTGTCCGTATGTCTGTGTGTCTGTCTGTCTGTCTGTCTGTCCGTGTGTAAACACGATAACTTGAGTACCGTTGCAGCTAGGTTGATGAAATTTCATATATAAGTATTTTATCAAAATCGTAGATCCGTATCAACGTTTGAGCGATTTTCGATAACCGGAAGTGGTACTTTTCCTACTTTGAATTTTTCAAAAGCCTATAACTGGAGTATTATTTCAGATAGATAAATGAAATTTCACATGTAAGTAAAAGATCTAATTCTCTACCTTCTGTTAAATTTTGAGTAATTTCCGTTGACCGGAAGTAGTAATTTACGCTACTTCCGATTTCTCAAAGAACAAATGTAAATTTTTAAATTACTAATAATATTGCGCACTATTATGCACTTTTTTATTTGGCGTTCACTTGGTGTGCAATTAATTTGTCTACGAGATTTTATTCTATTTTTTAAACTTTGAGTATTTAAAATGGATTAAAAATCATGTCTATAGCCCAAGTTCCCATCCCCTGTTATTTTATGTAAGAATATTCGAGAAAGTTTAGGGGAGATCACTCCCGGTTTATTTTTTAAAGAAGACGTTTTTAACATTACATTTAGCGGTGTAAAGTTTTACCACCGAAAAAACAATTGGATAAGATGGGTTACTATAGTCTTGAAGTGAAACAAATCCGGGCACCCTTCGGCGCCGTTCATTTTGGCGCCTATATTCATTTAAGTGAGTGCAAAATACTATGAATAAGTTGGGGTAATATAGTCGTTTACTAAGCTGAAACATGCGGTTCAGTCGGCGCCCCAGCATGTTGCGATTTGACGCCCCGGGGTAGTCTGTGAGCACATTGCGTTTATGTTTATGTTTATGTTTGAGTTTTTTGTGTGTATGGGTTAGGTTAGCGTTTGTAGTTGGGTTTGCGTTTGGATTTAGTTTGTTTTCGTTTGCTTTTTTGTTTGTGTTTTCTTTGTATTTGTGGTTGGGTTTGTGTTTGCGTTTGTTTTTGTATTTGTGTTAACGTTAAGTTTGCGTTTTTTTTTGTTTTGGTTGATTGTGGTTAGGGTGGGCAATGACGGGTATATGATGATTACTAAACACACATGTTTACATATAGGTTTTTCACAGAGGCCAGTGATATATATATATATATATATATATATATATATATATATATATATATATATATATATATATAATACTAATTATTTGAAATAAATATATATAAAATCCATGTAGGCTCTTCTCTCTTTTGTTTATCTGTCATACTTTGTCCGAAGCTAAGAGATCAAACTCTTCAGCTGTATCTGAAATTCTAAAAGATACATATTTTTGTGGAGAAAAATATGCTGACACTATTGAATAAATAAACTTAATTTTATTGAAAGCATAGTTAACTGATTTTTCTTGCACTAACTTACCCGGCCACTGCATTGCTGCAGGCTGACGCAACATTATAATATGAATTTACCTTTATTATTATGATTATATTTACCCACCCAATCCGTAGTGTATGCTACTCTTTAAAAGACCGTATATTTATGACAAAGAAAATACTACACTAGAGTAAAGACATGCCATGAGCGCCACCAGTTTACAAGATACGTAACGTTTGTTCTGCATCTAACCCTGCCCTGACATGTCTCAGCTATCCGAGCCCCCAAGATTCCTGGTTCTAGTGTATGTGCGCCGCCCCTAGCTTCTGATCTAATAGGGCTGGTAAGTAGGTCACCAACCAGTTTTATAGTTCATGCAGGTTTTATTGAGCCGTAGAACTGGTTGGTGACCTACTTATCAACCCTATTACTGGCCGGGTCAAAACACGGCCATACCACGCCCAGTCCGACGACAGCATGTTTCAGCTTGATAGCTAGGACATAAGAAATCAAAATAATGTTTTGTTTAACATCGATTTATTTTTATCCGAGGTACACCAGTGCCTTTGATTATTATTATTTGATTAAATTTCTTGTTTATTTATTTTTAAAATGATATTGTAGAATTCGGTTGAAAAATAAATCAGATAAATTAAGATTTTCGAAAAACGTTTATTTAGTTACCAAAAACTATACATTTGTTCCAAATTCAAAACTAGTTTTTAAATTAAATTAAATCACAGTCCATAAAAATACTTTAAACAAAAATCAAAAACTAGAATGAAACTTCAAAGGACATGTTACTAAAATAAAAATAAGGCAACAATAAATTTGTGTAGACATGTTTTATAAGAGTATTATTTTCTAAAAATTCATATAAGCTTTTATATTATATGCACTTAATAGTAGCTATTTAAAAAATAGTGTGTCGTTTATTTTCTACCTGTTAGTGCATTATAACAAAAAGCTTGTTCTTAAATCGTTTTTTAGGAAAAAAATTCAGTAGGCCTACTTTATATTTAAAAATTTACAATAGAGTTGCATGACTAAAAACATTTGCGTACCCAATGAACATTATAACGCGCATATAAAAGTGCGGAAAAGACAGCCAACTAATTTGAACACAATTTTAAGTAATTTATAACAAATTAATTAGGCATCCAATTAAGTAAAACTTAATGTCAGATTACATTGTCTTCATGTCTTGACCCACGTGCCAACTTTGAACCGGATCTGTCAGTTAGAAGTGCCCGAAGTTTCGCTCGAGCGTTTAGATTTACACAGACAGACTGACGAAATATTTTTGACAGACAGAGGAAGCAAATTGAATAAAAGCTTGTAAAAAAACAATGTGTACATGTAAAATTTCTCGTGCATACAACAGCAGACGGTGATATATTTCTGCTTTACTAATTTACTAATGTGTGTTGGTGTGTATTTTTATTTATAAAACGTTTTTGCATTAAAAAACAGTTTAAAGTTTTGAGTTTAAGTCTCAGTTCAATCAGTTCCACAATTACAAAAAATATTTTGCCATTAAAAAAGTTTTCAACTATTTCTATCAGATCATGATCAAATAGTTGATCTAACGTTAAAGTAGATTTATTTAATGTATCGACGTGTAAGTAGTCAGTAGACGTACATTTTTTTATAGAATCCACTGGGCGATATGTATGGAACTTTGCATGACGCAGTGGGCTCTACGTAAGGGAGGGGGAGATGGGGGTTGGCCTGGGGAACAATGCTCAGCGAGATCCTGGTGGATTTTTTTATTTAAAAGAAAAGAAGAATACAACTAAAGTTTAAAAGAGAACCTGCACCGAAAAAAAACCTATTTGAAAGAACGGACGATGGAGGTGGAGGGGGGGGGGGGGAGGGCAGGCAAGATGGGGGTCCCAAAATCCCACCAAAAACAATATATATATATATATATATATATATATATATATATATATATATATATATATATATATATATATATATATATATATATATATATATATATATATATATATATATATATATATATATATATATATATATATATATATATATATATATATATATATAATTATATATACTTCAGCAGTAATTGTTCTAACAAACACTGCTTCAAAGCTACAGTTAACGCAAATTCATAACATTAACACAACTTAAAAGCAAACATAAACGAATAGAGCTCACAGTCTAGTTCGGTGCGCCAAAACGCACCCTGCTGGGACGCCGGCGGCTCAGCATGAACCAACTTAGTAAACGACCATAATACCTCAACTTATTCATAAATAAAACAAAATGCAGTATTTAAAATATCCGTATTTTACCTACCATATTGCATGTTATCAGTCCATGCTAATTATAATATTTCAACAATAATGTCCCTTTTTTTTACTAGCGTGAGTTGAATTTCTTTTTAAATTACCTCCCCAGGCATAATTATTAAACATTTTGATTAATTAGTTTTTTTCTACCATACTGTTATTAAACAGTATCAATTTTTTCTATAAATCTAGGCGCAAATATTATTTGACATTGATCCGTTTAATGTTTTAGCAAACTGGGTGTATTAAATATTTTCTTCATGTAATGATATGCGAAAGAGTAAAAACTGTGCCAACTATACACAAAATTTAAGTCGTTATATAAATAAAACCTACACAACTATTTATAATAAGGCTATTCGATGAAAGGAAAAAAGCACTGCGTATGCTGTTGTTCACTTTTATGGTTCCAAAATCTATAGCGATGACTGAGTGATGGACATAATGACTGACACACTACCACCAGCCTCATATTATAGATGTAAACGTTTGCTATATATATTGGACTTGAACACATTTTTTTTCTTGGGGCCTTTTTTCTAGTTCTACCACTTAGAGAGTTAGACGATGGATAGCTTCTCATGACTGAGTGTGTGACTTGTCAGAAGACATTTCCTTCCAGGATACTAAGGTGCAAGTTCGATGAATATTTCAAGCAGCTAACAGAGCTTCAACCACAATAGGGCTTGTAAGTCTTGGTCCTTCTCACAATTTCAAATCTCGTTAGGCAAGGAGAGATATATATTTTCAAACTAAATTAACTGTTTATAATAGATAAAAATGCCCGTACATTTTTTCTGGAAACCCTTCGTGATGTTAAAATACCAAAAGTGCCCAACATACAACAGTTATAAAATGTTGACTCATACTAGAGTTAAATTAAGTACTAGGACGCCTTGGTTGTCTATTTATAATATTATATTAATATAGTAACTGCGTTTATAGCAACGTATTATGGGTTCGAATACACAATAGGAAACAATACCCTTCTTGAAAAAAAAAATCACTTTTTGACGTAGGCTATATTTTTCTTTACTTTCGCATACATCTTGCCCTCTATTAAATCATTGTTTACGAATTTAAATAACTTAAAAATAGCGGAAGTAACTTTTCTGGTTTTTTACAGTCTTAATAAAAATATTCCAATTTACTTAAAAAAAAACAACTAGTTGGCAAATGCGAAAATGAGAAGTTGGTGACCTACTTACAAGCCCTATTTATGGCACGTAGTTGATGGATGCTGAACTGCAACTCTTATGAAAGGCACAGCAGAGTTTGTTTTGACACATTCGTTCATCAACAAAGATATAAACTCAAAGTACTTGTACAAATATTTCAAACGTCACGAAAGTAAAATAAAATAAAACTACAACCATGGTGAAACAAAACATGAAGTGACTATGACAAGCTATTTATATAAAATATGAGACTGGCAATGCTTCACTCAGAGCAAAATAACCATGCAGGCAATTAAGACAAACCAATTAAACTATAGTAACTTTTATAGACATGTCAAAGCAGCTAAGATATTTATTTAAAAGAGAACCATGTAAACAAGACGAGTCTAAGACGATACAATTATAGAACTGTTTATGAAAGGATAATGTAAATACGACTTAATGACATAACAGTCCAATTAAAACTTTATAAAGACATAACGTTGAAAACGGAGCCAATAGTTAATCCATTTTTATATTGACAAGTATTTTAGACACGACATTTTAGTATGAAAAGTATTTAAGACACAGCTTTTAACTATGACAAGTATTTGAGACACGACATTATAACAAAGTGTTTACGACACGACGTTGTAACAAAGTGTTTAAGATACGACGTTGTAACAAAGTATTTAAGACACGACGTTGTACCAAAGTGTTTAAGACACGGCGTTGTAACAAAGTGTTTAAGACACGACGTTGTAATAAAGTATTTAAGACACGACGTTGTAACAAAGTGTTTAAGACACGGCGTTGTAACAAAGTGTTTAAGACACGACGTTGTAACAAAGTATTTAAGACACGATGTTGTAACAAAGTGTTTAAGACACGACGTTGTAACAAAGTGTTTAAGACACGGCGTTGTAACAAAGTGTTTAAGACACGACGTTGTAATAAAGTATTTAACACACGACGTTGTAACAAAGTGTTCAAGACACGACGTTGTACCAAAGTGTTTACGACACGACGTTGTAACAAAGTGTTCAAGACACGACGTTGTAACAAAGAGTTTAAGACACGACGTTGTACAAAAGTGTTTAAGACACGATGTTGTAACAAAGTGTTTAAGACACGACGTTGTAACAAAGTGTTTAAGACACGACGTTGTAACAAAGTGTTTAAGACACGATGTTGTAACAAAGTGTTTAAGACACGACGTTGTAACAAAGTGTTAAAGACACGACGTTGTAACAAAGTGTTTAAGACACGACGTTGTAACAAAGTGTTAAAGACACGACGTTGTAACAAAGTGTTTAAGACACGACTTTGTAACAAAGTGTTAAAGACACGACGTTGTAACAAAGTGTTTAAGACACGACATTGTAACAAAGTGTTTAAGACACGACGTTGTAACAAAGTGTTTAAGTCATAATGATTTGAGTCACCGTCACATTCGTCCAGACGATGTAGGCTTCTGTGCAGGCTATCAGATCAGTCTTCTGGTACTCCGTGTTTTCGTCAACCAATATCTGCTCACGCGGGATAAACAAACGTTCATGTATTAAAATATCACACGCTCATGTATAAAGAATGAGCTGTTCAAAAGTCTTATATTGTTTATTTTTCTAAAGTTCATTATAACGAATTTTTAAATATAATTTACACATCATATTTTGTTTCCTGGATTTTGTTTTTTAAATAATGTACAGGTCAACTTGTTTTGAAGATAGCCCACCCCCACCCCACCTCCAAGCATCAAAGTAGTGAGCAAACGGCATACAATACAAAAATTACTCTAAAATTCTGAGTTTACAATGTGGGTGTTGGGTTTCGTTTGTTTTATTGTATAATTAAACTAAGTATTAGTTTTATAACATTTCATTCTGATGTAAGATTTCGTTTATATGCTAATGTAAAGTTAAGCTAAGTATTAGTTTTAGATTCAAATTTATGTATTTTAGGTTCAAAATACAGTGGAAATCAAATTTACTCTTATATGATTGTTAGTGAGAATATTTTACATTACGATCAATGTAAATTGATATGTTTATAAAACAGTAGAATCATTACATCTGGAAAACAGTACTTTTTATATTTGAAAAGTGCATTATAAATAAAGGAGGAGTGATCTCCCCTAAACTTTCTCGAATTTTCTTATAAAACAGACACTACGTCAGCCTGTCATGTTATGCGTGTGCAGGATTAAAATACTTGCTCTATACTCTGTATACGAGAAAGAAAAATGAATTTTTTCAACCTCATTGTCTTCAATGTGTTAAATTGATTTAACACCACGAGATGAATTTATTTAATTTTTTGATGCACACTGACCTCTCACTGACTTCCCACTGACCTCCCATTAACCTCCCACTGACCTCACCCTGACCTCCCACTGACCTCCCACTGACCTCCCACTAACCAACCGTTAACCTCACACTGACATCACCCTTGTGACCTACTTAGGTCTGGTAATGTTTATTTTTACATTTGTCACCTTACCATATATGGTCTGTGGTATAATCACTGGTTTTTTCCACTGTCTTAAGAAAGTCTTAGACTCAGTATTTTTCCATCATGAGATGATTGGTTGAGTCGGACCAGGTGATACTACAACCAATAGCCTTATGATTTGAAGGTGACCTTCCATGTTGCCTAAGTCTATAAATAGACCGCGTACAGGTCTCTCGAGGCAGTTCTTTGACCAGACGTCTTTGAGAGAGAATAAGCCCTGTGTGTCGCTGTGTAGTACTAAGTTGTTTAAGTAGCATATTCTTATATTACTTGTGGTTAAGTAATACTATATGCTTATAGCAGTGATGTGTATACTGTGGTGATTTTTCTGAAGTGTTAAAAGCTGTGATAGTGTATCATATTATCTTTTCCCACGAATTGTAAGTTGGGTTTTGTTCATTCTGTAAATCTATTTTATCCTGTATAAATCTAGTGTTCTGCCACGACTTTGTACACTCATTAAAAGTTATATGCAGATTAAATGTATTGTTGGCATCAGTAGTTTCTCTAGTGTTTCCCCTAGACATCAAGTACGAGTCCTAGTGAACTATTGTGCTAGCTTTCTTTTATTTAGGCTTGTCGCCATTTGTGTATAATCAGTTAAACGAATCCGGGAGCGTTCGCCAACTATCTGGCTGATAGATTGGAGCTCGTTACACCCTGACCTCATCCTGACCTCACACTGACCTCACCCTGACCTCACACTGACCTCACACTGACCTCACACTGACCTCACATTGACCTCACCCTGACCTCACCCTGACCTCACACTGACCTCACCCTGACCTCACCCTGACCTCACACTGACCTCACACTGACCTCACACTGACCTCACACTTACCTTACACGTACCATACACTTACATTAGCAGTGGGCTCTTTCATTGCCAGTTTCATCCGGAACTCCCTGTTGTTCGCAAACGGAAAAATATCGTTGCAGCAGCACTGCGAATTTGTGTCCCACGCTTCGTTGACTCGGTGGTTGATGAGTACTTCTTCTTGGCCTGTGCTCAGCACCGCCTCAAACAACAGCGCCACATCGTTAATCAGGTCTCTCTTGCACTCAACTGCGATGGCAAATCTGTATTGAAAAACGACTGCGTTTTATTCATATTTATCAGAATAAAAAAAACCATGACTAAAAATTTGGGTAGACATTTCACGGATGAACTACCCACCAGAAATGCTATACATATTCGAAATATGACTCTATTTAACACAGCATTTATGTTTGTTTTTAAGCAGCGCCAACAAATTATATTTGATATATCGTTGATGAATTAGTTTAAAAGCTCTGCTTAAGTGTAGGTGTGAGTGTAGTGATTGACTTGGGACTAGGTTGAAATTCAGACAGACAGACTTACTTGACGCCGTTGGTGGGACGACCACGGATGATGATAATCTTTCCATGACTGGGCCTCGTTGTTAAGAGTGGCATTGACTTGTAGTAAAGAGCATCAAAAATGTGTTATGTTTAATTAACATACATATTCGATACATGTTTAGATATTTTAATACACAGATTTTTTCTAATAAGAATATTGCTGCTAATTTCTAAGTTGAAATTACACAGAATACTCACGGGAAAGTTGGTCTGAAAAGATTTAAAATATATATATTATATATTATATTATATATATATATATATATATATATATATATATATATATATATATATATATATATATATATATATATATATATATATATATATATATATATATAAAATTGTACTACATCATTGAATAATTGCTTAAAATATTTTCTTAAATAGGCCCATTAAATGGAAGTCGAATGCTGCTTCTTGATTGAATTTTATGAAAATTAAATATGCTAGTTTTTTAACCTTGAATTCATCAAGAAAAGCCGTTTTTTTTTCAATTTGGCCGTCATTGCCATAGCAACCATACTTTGATGTATGCAAACATTTTAGTATAAGCACCAGTGAATTACTATATAGTGGCTTACCATATAGAGTACCCAGTAAACCAGGGGTCTCCAATCTTTTCAGCCCTAGGGCCGCACTAACTAATAAATATAAGCTCGGGGGCCAGAGTTGCTTTCAGCCATCTCTTCGGCATCTCTTCGAGGTGGCTGAGACCCCCCCCCCCCCGAAGAAAGTCTCTTAAAGGTACTTTGACGCACAGGTTTCAATATCAGAAAAGTCTTCCTAGGGCAAATAATTATAAAGGGCAACTGGCCACATAAGCTTCAATGGTATTTGCACCCACCCATTGCTACATTTTCAGTTTGTTTTGAATGTTTCCTCAGCCACCTCCAACGGAATTTTTTTTACCGTGGACAAAACAGTCTCCGCGGGCTTAATAACTTAATATAGTAACCAGTAAATGACCACCTAGTGCCTTAATAAAGTATACAGTCAATGACCACCTAGTGCCTTAATAAAGTATCCAGTTAATGACCACCTAGTGCCTTAATAAAGTATCCAGTTAATGACCACCTAGTGCCTTAATAAAGTATCCAGTAAATGACCACCTAGTGCCTTAATAAAGTATCCAGTTAATGACCACCTAGTGACTTAATAAAGTATCCAGTTAATGACCACCTAGTGACTTAATAAAGTATCCAGTTAATGACCACCAAGTGCATTAATAAAGTATCCAGTTAATGACCACCTAGTGCCTTAATAAAGTATCCAGTTAATGACCACCTAGTGCCTTAATAAAGTATGCAGTTAATGACCACCTAGTGCCTTAATAAAGTATCCAGTAAATGACCACCTAGTGCCTTAATAAAGTATCCAGTAAATGACCACCTAGTGCCTTAATAAAGTATCCAGTTAATGACCACCCAGTGACTTAATAAAGTATCCAGTTAATGACCACCTAGTGCCTTAAAAAAGTATCCAGTAAATGACCACCTAGTGCCTTAATAAAGTATCCAGTAAATGACCACCTAGTGCCTTAATAAAGTATACAGTTAATGACCACCTATTGCCTTAATAAAGTATCCAGTAAATGACCACCTAGTGCCTTAATAAAGTATCCAGTAAATGACCACCTAGTGCCTTAATAAAGTATCCAGTAAATGACCACCTAGTGCCTTAATAAAGTATCCAGTTAATGACCACCTAGTGCCTTATTAAAGTATCCAGTAAATGACCACCTAGTGCCTTAATAAAGTATCCAGTTAATGACCACCTAGTGCCTTAATAAAGTATCCAGTAAATGACCACCTAGTGCCTTAATAAAGTATCCAGTAAATGACCACCTAGTGCCTTAATAAAGTATCCAGTTAATGACCACCTAGTGCCTTAATAAAGTATCCAGTAAATGACCACCTAGTGCCTTAATAAAGTATCCAGTTAATGACCACCTAGTGCCTTAATAAAGTATCCAGTAAATGACCACCTAGTGCCTTAATAAAATATCCAGTTAATGACCACCTAATGCCTTAATAAAGTATCCAGTAAATGACCACCTAGTGCCTTAATAAAGTATCCAGTAAATGACCACCTAGTGCCTTAATAAAGTATCCAGTTAATGACCACCTAGTGCCTTAACAAAGTATACAGTTAATGACCACCTAGCGCCTTAATAAAGTATACAGTTAATGACCACCTAGCGCCTTAATAAAGTATACAGTTAATGACCACCTAGTGCCTTAATAAAGTATCCAGTAAATGACCACCTAGTGCCTTAATAAAGTATCCAGTTAATGACCACCTAATGCCTTAATAAAGTATCCAGTAAATGACCACCTAGTACCTTAATAAAGTATCCAGTAAATGACCACCTAGTGCCTTAATAAAGTATCCAGTTAATGACCACCTAGTGCCTTAATAAAGTATCTAGTTAATGACCACCTAGTGCCTTAATAAAGTATCCAGTAAATGACCACCTAGTGCCTTAATAAAGTATCCAGTTAATGACCACCTAGTGCCTTAATAAAGTATCCAGTTAATGACCACCTAGTGCCTTAATAAAGTATCCAGTAAATGACCACCTAGTGCCTTAATAAAGTATCCAGTTAATGACCACCTAGTGCCTTAACAAAGTATACAGTTAATGACCACCTAGTGACTTAATAAAGTATCCAGTTAATGACCACCTAGTGCCTTAATAAAGTATCCAGTTAATGACCACCTAGTGCCTTAATAAAGTATCCAGTAAATGACCACCTAGTGACTTAATAAAGTATACAGTTAATGACCACCAAGTGCCTTAATAAAGTATCCAGTAAATGACCACCTAGTGCCTTAATAAAGTATCCAGTAAATGACCACCTAGTGCCTTAATAAAGTATCCAGTTAATGACCACCTAATGCCTTAATAAAGTATCCAGTAAATGACCACCTAGTGCCTTAATAAAGTATCCAGTAAATGACCACCTAGTGCCTTAATAAAGTATCCAGTTAATGACTACCTAGTGCCTTAATAAAGTATCCAGTTAATGACCACCTAGTGCCTTAATAAAGTATCCAGTAAATGACCACCTAGTGCCTTAATAAAGTATCCAGTTAATGACCACCTAATGCCTTAATAAAGTATGCAGTAAATGACCACCTAGTGCCTTAATAAAGTATCCAGTTAATGACCACCTAGTGCCTTAATAAAGTATCCAGTAAATGACCACCTAGTGCCTTAATAAAGTATCCAGTAAATGACCACCTAGTGCCTTAATAAAGTATCCAGTTAATGACCACCTAATGACTTAATAAAGTATCCAGTAAATGACCACCTAGTGCCTTAATAAAGTATCCAGTAAGTGACCACCTAGTGCCTTAATAAAGTATCCAGTAAATGACCACCTAGTGCCTTAATAAGGTATACAGTTAAAGACCACCTTACCGAATAGTATATCCAGTTAACTGTTACTTGGTCACGAATTTGGATATATTTCACGTTGTTCAACGACTGAAGATTCGTTGGCTCCAATACCCTTTTGTTGTCTATGAGCACCTATGGTCCATGGGATGATGACACAGATGAACTTTTATGGTTAATTACGCTTTACATGTTTTAAGAATATGTTAGCATAATGTATTAGGCATAATTGAAACACGTTGGAATTGTTTGACGTTTGTTATTATGCCAGGTACATGCATTATGTCAACAGTTTGTGGTATTTCAAGCTTATATGAGGCTCTAGTCCAAAATCACCCCCAATACATCTACAGCACAGCAAGAGATAAAGATCAATGGAGCTTTAGGTCAGAGGTTGTGTTCTCTTGCTTGTGGGCTATGAGAAATGATGAAGGGGATGACTGTATTAACATGAACACATGCGTCAATTGGGGAAGAAGGCAAGCACACATGGTTAATATAACAAACACATAACACACTTCTCTACCCAACTGTAAGCACACACCAATGTGCGCTTTTGTGTGCCATGACTACTGTACACAGTATATCAAAATATATCTAGTGATGCGACTACTATGCACAACATGTACAAAATGTAACGAGGACCATCTGCCCATGTATTTTAAAACTTGCAAGTGTCAGTACTTACTGTAAATTTGTTCTGGTATATGATGATCTTTAATTCAAACTTCCTTCCCCTTTGCGCGTCATTCCTCTGAAGTATTTGTTCTCGCCCCCACACGTTGTTTGCTTTAGAAGAGACGCTCGTGACCACGGTGTTAAACCGAAACTGGACGTGAAGCGGTACATTGGCTCGGCAGTTTGTGGTGTCACAAACTTCAAAGGTCATCCTTAGGAGAAGAAAACATGCGCGCTGAAAATACGTTCTTACATTGCTTGTATGTATCAATTGTGTTTTTGCAAATAGTATAAATATGTAAGTATTGTCAATATTCAGTATAACAAAAATATGCAATATAACATTACAAAATAACCTAGACGTGCAAGTTATGAAAACAGAATTATATACTATACTCCATATGTGAGCGGGTGAATGGATTATTTTGTATTAATTTTATTTGTTGCGAATCTGGGAGTGCATGGTGGTCCAATGGGGAACAGGCCACGGGGTCCCCCTTCCGTCCGAAGTGGTCAGTATATAAACTGACCACTCGGATAATTTCTTCCTTTTTTTGACCGCCAGAATGTAGGTCAGGTCAGCTTCTGTGGTCGCGCTTTGTGCGTTGGAGGTATTTGTTTTTTTATACTTTATCTTTATGTGATTTGTATGAATGCGACTGTCGATGTTTCTCGTTTTCTTTCATTTTCGTCTAAAACGAGATAGTGAGCATCGGCATGTCTGGTATGCACGTGGTGTGTTATTTTGTTATTTTGAATTAAAATTGTTTTTGATGTTTTCTAAACCCTTGGCGTGTGTTTCGGACCACGTGGTTTAGGCCAGTGTGTTTAGGAGTGTTTCCTAAACTGGTGTGAATGCGTGTGTGCATTTACCTGATTGTTTTATGATGTTGTTATTGACTAGGATTGGCTTAGTCAATAGTCAGTTGTTTTAGACAGTAATTAGATTAGTATATTTTAGTTGCCTCGAGTTTTAGGTTGTTTAAAATTAATGTGTGTGCTGTTTCGTGCAACGTCATGTTGAGTATCGCTTGCTTTGTGTCTGCCTTCATTGGGGCCTTAGCAGAGTGTGTTAACTTTAATGTTATCAATATGGATATTGTTTAGGTAGACCAATGGCTTCGGGCTTCCTTGTGTAGGAAAGATTGGTTCTACAATGAATTTGTTTACACGTTATTTTTAAGTTGCTAGTTCTTCTTTAGACAGTGGTTAGTTGTTTTTGAGAATTGCTTTTAGAATTGTATAGTAAGGATTAGTTTTACTCGAGGCTTTAGCTAGATAGAAGTAGTAGGTAGCATTTTGAACTTGTGTATATATTTATGTATATATCTGCCATTACCATGCATTTTTCTTATGTTTTCCTTTTCTTTTTCTCTTCCAGTAAGGTTGCTTGTGCAACTTGGCTGGGTGTTTTGTTATATATGAATTGTTTTGTTTGGTGTAAAAAGTTTGTTGTGTACGTATTGTGTTCTACGTAATGTATTGTACGTAGTGGTTTTACGTAGTGTTTTGTTTGGTGTGGACTTTTGGATGTCGAGAATCGATGAAGGGAGGTTTCTGTGTGTCAGGGCCTGGACCATCCTAGACATCATAAGTCGGCGCAACACCAGCAAATGGTCAAACGTAATGTTTTGTTTGATGTAAAAAGTTTGTTTCGTTGGTTCTGTTTTGTGTCAGTTTTTTTATCTATTCTTTTTTTATAACTTTTGGTTCCATTTTTTGATAAATAAATGTTATTATATTGTTTAAGTTTTTGTTTTATTTTAGTAGCTTATTATTTAGACTAAGGTTAGGGTTTAACCACTGTGGGTTCTACCACGGTTGCACTGACCGGACAGTTAGTTAGATAAGCCTAGGGAAGGGTAAGATAGATTTTAGGTATCCCCCCCTAGCAGGGCTTACACATATAATCCCAACACTCTATATACTCCTCAAAGTCCCCACACTTCCTATACTCCCCACACTTCCTATACTCCTCACACTCCCTATATTCCCCACATTCCCCACACTCCCTATACTGCCCACACTCACTATATTCCCCACTCTCCCCACACTCCCTATATTCCCCACATTCCCCACACTCCATATATTCCCAACACTCCTTATATTCCCCACACTCCTCACACTTTCTATAATCCCCCACACTTCTCATATTCCCCACACTAACTATATTCCCCACACTCCCTATATTTCCCACATTCCCCACACTCCCTATACTCCCCACTCTCCCCACACTCCTTATATTCCCCACACTCCTCACACTCTCTATAATCCCCCACATTTCTCATATTCCCCACAATCACTATATTCCCCACACTCCCCACACTCCCTATACTCCCCACACTCCCTATATTGCCCACATTCCCCACACCCAATATTCCCCACATTCCCTATAATCCCCACACTCCCCATACTCCCTATACTCCCCACACTCCCCACACTCCCCACATTCCCCACACTCCCCACACTCCCCACACTCCCCACACTCCCTATATTTCTCACACTCGCCACACTTCGTATACTGCCAAAAGCTAATCTATTTTATAAGCTTTTTTTTAGTTAGCAACGTCTGTTTGTTTGTTTGTTTGTGGGTTTGTGGCAAATCTTATAACTCAACTTTGACCCACTTCTAATGCAGCGACTTCGTTCAAACTTTCCAGATATAAAATATGGAAGCAATGTATATTGCTAAAATATATAAACGATCCCATGAGTGAACAAAGCTTTTATGAAAGAAAGTAGATTAGTTTTATTTTCTTATTTTCAAAGTATTTAAAAGCTTGTTACTACAAAAGTTTTTTTAATGTTTTTTTTTCTATTGTTTTTTTTTTTTTAATTTCAGTTAACTCCTGCTATGTAGAATAGTAATAACTACCTTATAATTCATTTGTATTGCAAAGAAAATAGGGTCTAAAACGAAGAGATTTCTTCTACACTAAAGCATTCCATACTTTATCGAATGTAATTTTCTCGTGGTTTGTGGTTGTGTATGTGCGAGGGGGGGGGGGGGGGGGGGAGGTTCAGAGGTGTGTATGTGTGTGTGTGTGCGTGCGTGTGTGTGTGCGTGTGTGTGCGTGTGTGTGTGTGTCTGTCTGTAAACACGATAACTTGAGTACCGTTACAGATAGTTGATGAGATTTCATATTTACGTATTATTTCGAAGTTATAGATCAGTATCAACTTTTCAGCGATTTCCGATAACTGAAGTTGGAATTTTTTCTTCTTTCAAATTTTCAAAAGCCTATAACTTAAGTACTATTTCAAATAGATAAATGAAATTTCACATGTAAGTAAAAGATCTAATTTTCTGCCTCCTGTCAAATTGTGAGTAATTTCCGTTGACCGGAAGTACGCTTTTTCCGATTTCTCAAAAAAAAACGCATGTGAATTTATAAAGTACTAATAATATTCCGCACTATTATACACATTTTGTTTAGCGTTCACTCGGTGTGCAATTCTTTTTTCTTCGAGTATTTTATTCTATTTTTAAAAGTTTGAGTATTTAAAATGGATTAAAAATCATGGCTATATCCCTAGTTGACATCTCCTTAGTGTTATATAAGAATATTCGAGTTTAGGGGAGATCACCAGGTTTATTTTTAGTAGATGTAGTTGTGCGTATTATTTCTGCAAAATTCTGCAAATTTTTTTTTTTAAATTTTAATTGTTTTTTTTTCTATATTCGTCAATGTAGCTTTTATGCTAATTTGCTAGGAGAGGAAAAGTTAGCAACAAGAGTTTTCTGTGTGACGGTTTGACCTCTGATGTTTATAACATTTGTGTAACGAGCTGTGTCATTGGCTATGTCAAGTTTTAGAATCACGACAAAGTGTACGCGTCGTTGTTTTAAGCGCAGCTTTATGCAACACTATTTCCTTAAAATTTTTTGTACACAAACAAGCTGATCTGCATTAGTATTTAAATTTAGGCATAGCTATAAATAGCTGGAGCAAAACCTAGACGATAACGGCTAATATGTATATATATATATATATATATATATATATATATATATATATATATATATATATATATATATATATATATATATATATATATATATATATATATATATATATATATATATATATATATATATATATATATATATATATATATATATATATGTATATATATATATTTATTTATATATATATATATATATATATATATATATATATATATATATATATATATATATATATATATATATATATATATATATATATATATACTAGGTATACTGCCTAGCTTCGCTTGAGAATTTCAATACTTAATTTATATATATATATATATATATATATATATATATATATATATATATATATACAGAGAGAGAGAGGGGGAGAGTGACGAAGCATGTTATTTACCTTGTAGCCCTGGATGTAGGAACACCTTCAATTATTATTTCCTTTCCGTCGTTGATTGGCCCAGGGATAGTGCCGGTATAAGGCATGCGGTACTGAGAAGATGCAGTATAAAATAACAGATAGTGCCGGTATAAGGCATGCGGTACTGAGAAGATGCAGTATAAAATAACAGATAGTGCCGGTATAAGGCATGCGGTACTGAGAAGATGCAGTGTAAAATAACAGATAGTGCCGGTATAAGGCATGCGGTACTGAGAAGATGCAGTATAAAATAACAGATAGTGCCGGTATAAGGCATGCGGTACTGAGAAGATGCAGTATAAAATAACAGATAGTGCCGGTATAAGGCATGCGGTACTGAGAAGATGCAGTATAAAATAACAGATAGTGCCGGTATAAGGCATGCGGTACTGAGAAGATGCAGTGTAAAATAACAGATAGTGCCGGTATAAGGCATGCGGTACTGAGAAGATGCAGTATAAAATAACAGATAGTGCCGGTATAAGGCATGCGGTACTGAGAAGATGCAGTGTAAAATAACAGATAGTGCCGGTATAAGGCATGCGGTACTGAGAAGATGCAGTATAAAATAACAGGCAGCATTTACAGGAATGGCAAAATGTTCGTTTGTATATAACCATATACTTTTTTGTCGTATTGATGAGAATTTAGTTTAAAGATCAAGAGAGGGGTCAATGTGGTCTGTATATAGAGGGGTCACTATGGTCTGTATCTGTAGGGGTCACTGTGGTCTGTATCTAGAGGGGTCAATATGGTCTGTATCTGGAGATTTCACTATGGTCTGTAGAGGGGTCACTGTGGTCTGTAGAGGGGTCACTGTGGTCTGTTGAGGGGTCACTATGGTCTGTATCTAGAGGGGTCACTATGGTCTATAGAGGGGTCACTGTGGTCTGTAGAGGGGTCACTGTGGTCTGTTGAGGGGTCACTATGGTCTGTATCTAGAGGGGTCACTATGGTCTGTAGAGGGGTCACTGTGGTCTGTAGAGGGGTCACTATGGTCTGTAGAGGGGTCACTATGGTCTGTATCTGTAGGGGTCACTGTGGTCTGTATCTAGAGGGGTCACTGTGGTCTGTAGAGGGGTCACTGTGGTCTGTAGAGGGGTCACTGTGGTCTGTATATAGAGGGGTCTCTGTGGTCTGTTTCTAGAGGGGTCACTGTGGTCTGTAGAGGGGTCACTGTGGTCTGTATATAGAGGGGTCACTGTGGTCTGTATATAGAGGGGTCACTATGGTCTGTATCTGTAGGGGTCACTATGGTCTGTATCTAAAGGGGTCACTATGGTCTGTATATAGAGGGGGTCACTATGGCCTGTATCTGGAGATTTCACTATGGTCTATATCTAGAGCGGTCACTAGAGGGGTCTGTATCTGGAGGTGGCACTATGGTCTGTATATAGAGGGGTCACTATAGCTGTATAAAGAGGGGTCAATATGGTCTGTAGAGGGGTCACTATGGTCTGTATCTAGAGGGGTCAATCAGAGGGGTCACTGTAATCTGTATCTGGAGGGGTCACTATGGTCTGTATATAGAGGGGTCACTATGTTATGTATCTAGAGGGGTCACTATAGCTGTATATAGAGGAGTCACTATGGTCAGTATCTAAAGGGGTCACTATGGTCTGTATATAGAGGGGTAACTATAGCTGTATATAGAGGGGTCACTATGTTATGTATCTAGAGGGGTCACTATGGTCTGTAGAGGGGTCACTATGGTCTGTATCTAGAGGGGTCACTGTAATCTGTATATAGAGGGGTCACTATAGCTGTATCTGGAGGGGTCACTATTGCTGTATATAGAGGGGTCACTATAGTCAGTATCTAAAGGGGTCACTATGGTCTGTATATAGAGGGGTTACTATAGCTGTATATAGAGGGGTCACTATGTTATGTATCTAGAGGGGTCACTATGGTCTGTAGAGGGGTCACTATGGTCTGTATCTAGAGGGGTCACTGTAATCTGTATATAGAGGGGTCACTGTAATCTGTATCTAGAGGGGTCACTATTGCTGTATATAGAGGGGTCACTATGGTCAGTATCTAAAGGGGTCACTATGGTCTGTATATAGAGGGGTAACTATAGCTGTATATAGAGGGGTCACTATGTTATGTATCTAGAGGGGTCACTATGGTATGTAGAGGGGTCACTATGGTCTGTATCTAGAGGGGTCACTGTAATCTGTATATAGAGGGGTCACTGTAATCTGTATCTAGAGGGGTCACTATTGCTGTATATAGAGGGGTCACTATGGTCAGTATCTAAAGGGGTCACTATGGTCTGTAGAGGGGTCACTATGGTCTGTATCTAGAGGGGTCACTGTAATCTGTATATAGAGGGGTCACTATAGCTGTATCTGGAGGGGTCACTATGGTCTGTATATAGAGGGGTCACTATGGTCTGTATATAGAGGGGTCACTGTAATCTGTATATAGAGGGGTCACTATGGTCTGTATCTAGAGGGGTCACTGTAATCTGTATATAGAGGGGTCACTATAATCTGTATCTAGAGGGGTTACTATAGCTATATATAGAGGGGGTCACTATAGCTGTATATAGAGGGGTCAATATATCTGTATCTGGAGGGGTCACTATGGTCTGTATCTAGAGGGGTCACTGTAATCTGTATATAGAGGGGTCACTATGGTCTGTATCTAATAGCCTGATGTACGACCTAGGACTGCACTATTCCTGGTTCTACAAAAGTTTTCCGAGGCAAACTAGCTAAAAGTCAAATTTTAGACGATAAGTCAAATAGTGGGGTAATAAATCAAAGTGTGGGGTAATAAGTCAAATTGTGAGGCAATAAGTCAAATTGTGGGGCAAGAAGTCAAATTGTGAGGGAATACGTCAAATTGTGATGCGATAAGTCAGATTGTGAGGCAATAAGTCAAATTGTGGGGGAGTAAGTCAAATTCTGGACCAATACCTAAAATATAGGACAAGAAGTCATTCATTGACTTGTATCTGTATCCAACGCGTCAGCTAGATCTTCACAATTTTCGACATGTTTTTTCTTTATTTTCTTTTTTTTTAATGTACGGGAAAAGTGTTGCTGATGTTTAGATAAAGTTAAACACACTTCACTAAACTAGAACAAATTTCTTCATTAAAAACATTATCTCCTTAAAACTGTAAAACACACATCGCCTTTGAAAAATGTGCGGCTAGCTTCAATTTTTATCTTTATTAGAAATTTGTCAAATATTTTATATTCTATTTAATGGTTCTAAAGATTCTCTAAACAATAACGAAATGGTAACATTAAAATTGGTAATTCCAAATCCTTACCCCAGCTGTCCCGACGATGGAACGTCTCTCATACACATGTGAGTAGGGAAGGTACGTGAAGGTTGTGTTGTCGCCGTCGACCGAGAGAACTTTGATGAGCAGCAACGGCAGCCAGAGGTACAGCATCGACATCCTGATCCAGATACACTTGGGATACGGGTCAAATTTAGGATAGATCATATTGGGAGATGTAGTATACCATATCCTGATCCAGATACACTTGGGATACAGGTCAAATTTAGGATAGATCATATTGGGAGATGTAGTATACCATATCCTGATCCAGATACACTTGGGATACGGGTAAATTTAGGATAGATAATACTGGGAGATGTAGTATACCATATCCTGATCCAGATACACTTGGGATACGGGTAAATTTAGGATAGATAATACTGGGAGATGTAGTATACCATATTCTGATCCAGATACTCTTGGGATACGGGTAAATTTAGGATAGATAATACTGGGAGATGTAGTATACCATATCCTGATCCAGATACACTTGGGATATAGGTCAATTTAAGATAGATAATATTGGGAGATGTAGTATACCATATCCTGATCCAGATACACTTGGGATACGGGTAAATTTAGGATAGATAATATTGGGAGATGTAGTATACCATATCCTGATCAAGATACACTTGGGATGCGGGTCAATTTAAGATAGATAATATTAGGAGATGTAGTATACCATATCCTGATCCAGATACACTTGGGTTACATGTCGATTTAGGATAGATAATATTGGGAGATGTAGTATACCATATCCTGATCAAGATACACTTGGGATACTGGTCAATTTAGGATAGATAAAACTGGGAGATGTAGTATACCATATCCCGATCCAGATACACTTGGGATACGGGTAAATTTAGGATAGATAATACTGGGAGATATAGTATACCATATCCTGATCTAGATACACTTGGGATACGGGTAAATTTAGGATAGATAAAACTGGGAGATGTAGTATACCATATCCTGATCCAGATACAATTGGGATACGGGTAAATTTAGGATAGATAAAACTGGGAGATGTGGTATACCATATCCTGATCCAGATCCACTTGGGATACAGGTCGATTTAGGATAGATAATACTGGGAGATGTGGTATACCATATCCTGATCCAGATACACTTGGGATATAGGTCAATTTAGGATAGATAATACTGGGAGATGTAGTAGACTGGGATAGAACAAACAAAAGGTCTAGGACTGGGATAGAACAAACAAAAAGTCTAGGACTAGGATAGAACAAACAAAAGGTCTAGGACTGGGATAGAACAAACAAAAGGTCTAGGACTGGGATAGAACAAACAAAAGGTCTAGGACTGGGATAGAACAAACAATAGGTCTAGGACTGGGACAGAACAAACAAAAGGTCTAGGACTGGGATAGAACAAACAAAAGGTCTAGCACTGGGACAGAACAAACAAAAGGTCTAGCACTGGGATAGAACAAACAAAAGGTCTAGGACTGGGATAGAACAAACAAATGTCTAGGACTGGGATAGAACAAACAAAAGATCTAGGACTGGGATAGAACAAACAAAAGGTCTAGGACTGGGATAGAACAAACAAAAGGTCTAGGACTGGGACAGAACAAACAAAAGGTCTAGGACTGGGATAGAACAAACAATAGGTCTAGGACTAGGACAGAACAAACAAAAGGTCTAGCACTGGGATAGAACAAACAAAAGGTCTAGCACTGGGATAGAACAAACAAAAGGTCTAGCACTGGGATAGAACAAACAAAAGGTCTAGCACTGGGATAGAACAAACAAATGTCTAGGACTGGGATAGAACAAACAAAAGGTCTAGGACTGGGATAGAACAAACAAAAGGTCTTGCACTGGGATAGAACAAACAAAAGGTCTAGGACTGGGATAGAACAAACAAAAGGTCTAGGACTGGGATAGAACAAACAAAAGGTCTAGCACTGGGATAGAACAAACAAAAGGTCTAGGACTGGGATAGAACAAACAAAAGGTCTAGGACTGGGATAGAACAAACAAAAGGTCTAGGACTGGGACAGAACAAACAAAAGGTCTAGGACTGGGATAGAACAAACAAAAGGTCTAGGACTGGGATAGAACAAACAAAAGGTCTAGCACTGGGATAGAACAAACAAAAGGTCTAGCACTGGGATAGAACAAACAAAAGGTCTAGCACTGGGATAGAACAAACAAAAGGTCTAGGACTGGGATAGAACAAACAAAAGGTCTAGGACTGGGATAGAACAAACAAAAGGTCTAGCACTGGGATAGAACAAACAAAAGGTATAGCACTGGGATAGAACAAACAAATGTCTAGGACTGGGATAGAACAAACAAAAGGCCTAGGACTGGGATAGAACAAACAAAAGGTCTAGCACTGGGATAGAACAAACAAAAGGTCTAGGACTGGGATAGAACAAACAAAAGGTCTAGGACTGGGATAGAACAAACAAATGTCTAGGACTGGGATAGAACAAACAAATGTCTAGGACTGGGATAGAACAAACAAAAGGTCGAGGACTGGGATAGAACAAACAAAAAGACTAGCACTGGGATAGAACAAACAAAAGGTCTAGGACTGGGATAGAACAAACAAAAGGTCTAGGACTGGGATAGAACAAACAAAAGGTCTAGCACTGGGATAGAACAAACAAAAGGTCTAGGACTGGGATAGAACAAACAAAAGGTCTAGGACTGGGATAGAACAAACAAAAGGTCTAGGACTGGGATAGAACAAACAAAAGGTCTAGGACTGGGATAGAACAAACAAAAGAACATCTAGCACTCACCTCGGGTGTCTATCGTCTGTCACGATTACACTTTAATGGCGGCTGATGACGTTGTTTGGTGAGACGTGTCCTGCCGCACATGCGTATATGGTGGTTCCGGTGGTGCAGCTTCAGCGGCGGAGATCGGTACAGACCATAATGCGGTAGTAACATTTTGTAGTAGATCTACTACCTACATCATAGGGGCCATTTGGGGTAGTAACATTTTGTAGCAGACTTAAAACCAAACCATGGGGACAATATTTAGTTGTCAGAAAGAAGAAATGACCCTGTTCTTTTAGTCATAGTTTTTGTATACAATGAATCGCTTATAGACTCCCTTTACAATTTTACAAATTTGTATTTTATTTAATATTTATGCACATCAGCTTGTTACCCAAAGATTCCGTTCAAAAGGAATTTTTTTTTAAGTTTTGAAATTGTTTCATTTAAATTATGTTTTGTTTACTGTTTTTACCTTCTCGTATATACGAAGTATAGAGAAAGTCTTGTAATCGTGCAAAAAAAAAAAAAAAATCGAAATTTTTACAAATCTCGACGTACTACACCTCACTGATACGGAAAAACATAATTTTGCAATCTTGTCCGTATGTCTGTGTGTCTGTCTGTGTGTGTGTCTGTCTGTCTGTGTGTAAACACGATAACTTGAGTACCGTTACAGCTAGGTTGATGAAATTTCATATATAAGTATTTTATCAAAATCGTAGATCCGTATCCACTTTTGAGCGATTTCCGATAATCGAAAGTGGTACTTTTTCTACTTTGAATTTTTCAAAAGCCTATAACTTGAGTACTATTTCAGATAGATAAATGAAATTTCACATGTAAGTAAAAGATCTAATTCTCTGCCTTCTGTCAAATTGTGAGTAATTTCCGTGACCGGAAGTACTAATCAACGCTATTTCCGATTTCTCAAAAAACGCATGTAAATTTATAAAGTACTAATAATATTGCGTACTATTATGCACATTTTGTTTTGGCGTTCGCTTGGTACGCAATTCTTTTTTCTACTAGATCGAGATTCTATTCTAATTTTAAAAATTTAAGTAAACAAAAATCATGTCTATATTCCGAGTTGCCATCCCACGTAGTGTTATATTAGAATATTCGAGAAAGTTTAGGGGAGATCACTCCCGGTTTATTACGCTTACATATTACTGGTACATATCTCATACATAACATTGGTACATATCTATTACATAACAGGGGTATAGATCTCTTACATAATAGTGCTATAAGTCTCTAATATAGCATTGATGTAGCTCTCTCTCAATACTCATGTATAAAGTTAACCTTAAACGCCTATGATCTAATTGCTAAAGCTTTAATTCGTTCAAAAGCCGATTCCAAAATCGATAAGTCATTTCCAGCAGCACTATTCGACTAGTCTTTGCATCGCCTAAAGTGCCCTAGAGTATATTCCTCTAATAGTTTATATTTCTTCTAATTTATCATCGCCTCAGAGGCGTAGCGACCCTTCCCGCCTCCCGGGGACAAACTTTCGATTTGCACCCCACTCAAACTTTCGATTTGCACTCCCCCTCAAACTTTTTATTTGCACCCCCACCCCCTCAAACTTTCTATTTACACCCCCTCAACCTTTCAATTTATTTTCCAACACCCCCCCCCCTCGCTACGCCTATGCATCGCCTAAAGTATATTCCTCTAGTAGTTTATATTTCTTCTACTTTATCATCGCCTAAAGTATATTCCTCTAATAGTTTATATTTCTTCTAATTTATCTTCGCCTAAAGTATTTTCCTCTAATAGTTTATATTTCTTCTAATTTATCTTCGCCTAAAGTATATTCTTCTAATTGTTTATATTTCTTCTAATTTATCTTCGCCTAAAGTATATTTCTCTAATAGTTTATATTTCTTCTAATTTATCTTCGCCTAAAGTATATTCCTCTAATAGTTTATATGTCTTCTAATTTATCTTCGCCTAAAGTATATTCCTCTAATAGTTTATATTTCTTCTAATTTATCTTCGCCTAAAGTATTTTCCTCTAATAGTTTATATTTCTTCTAATTTATCTTCGCCTAAAGTATATTCCTCTAATAGTTTATCATCAACTTTTATCTACTTCTTCTACTTGCGTCAAAGTGCCGTGATTGTTTTGTCGCCTGTCTGCCGTCTGCCGTGTGTCTGTCGTGTGTCTGCTGTCTGTCTGTTGTCTGTCTTTCGCCTGTCGTGTGTCTGCTGTCTGTCTGTTGTCTGTCCAAAGCTTTGAGATGAGCCTGCTACTCTGACCACATGATCGTCTCATTAAGCTCTATGTCTACTTAATTAATGAGCATCTGTAAACCAAAAGTTTTTCTCCAGCCCACCCCCCTCCACTGATGCCAATAAAGTGGGATTTATGTTACACGGATCGCTGAAACGATCAGGAGGGATGAAAAAATGTATGACATTTTTGGTGGTGGTTGGATTCAATAAAGGGATATTTGGAAGCTTGCTGGAGAAAATAGTTGGATTCAATGAAGGAACAATGTTTCAAGAGTTAACGAGGGAGGTCAGGAGAAAACTAGGGAGCTCAAGAGAAAACTAGGTCAATAGAAAACTAGGTCAAGAGAAAACTAGGGAGGTCAAGAGTTGGGAGGTCAAGAGTTGGGAGGTCAAGAGAAAACTAGGGAGGTCAGGAGAAAACTAGGGAGGTCAATAGTTGGGAGGTCAAGAGGAAACTTTGGAGGTCAAGAGAAAACTAGGTCAAGAGAAAACTAGGGAGGTCAAGAGTTGGGAGGTCAAGAGTTGGGAGGTCAAGAGAAAACTTTGGAGGTCAGGAGAAAACTAGGGAGGTCAGGAGAAAACTAGGGATGTCAAGAGTTGGGAGGTCAAGAAAAAACTAGGGAGGTCAAGAGGAAACTTTGGAGGTCAAGAGTTGGGAGGTCAAGAGAAAACTAGGAAGGTCAAGAGGAAAATTTGGAGGTCAAGAGTTGGGAGGTCAAGAGTTGGGAGGTCAAGAGTTGGGAGGTCAAAAGAAAACTAGGGAGGTCAAGAGTTGGGAGGTCAAGAGTGGGGAGGTCAAGAGTTGGGAGGTCAAAAGAAAACTAGGGAGGTCAAGAGTTAGGAGGTCAAGAGTTGGGAGGTCAAGAGTTGGGAGGTCAAGAGTTGGGAGGTCAAGAGTTGGGAGGTCAAGAGTTGGGAGGTCAAGAGTTGGGAGGTCAAGAGAAAACTAGGGAGGTCAAGAGAAAACTAGGGAGGTCAAGAGAAAACTAGGGAGGTCAAGATTTGAGAGGTCAAGAGTTCGGAGGTCAAGAGTTGGGAGGTCAAGAGAAAACTTTGGAGGTCAAGAGAAAACTAGGTCAAGAGAAAACTAGGGAGGTCAAGAGTTGAGAGGTCAAGAGTTGAGAGGTCAAGAGTTGGGAGGTCAAGAGTTGGGAGGTCAAGAGAAAACTTTGGAGGTCAAGAGTTGGGAGGTCAAGAATTGGGAGGTCAAGAGTTGGGAGGTCAAGAGAAAACTAGGGAGGTCAAGAGTTGGGAGGTCAAGAGAAAACTAGGGAGGTCAAGAGTTGGGAGGTCAAGAGAAAACTAGGGAGGTCAAGAATTGGGAGGTCAAGAGTTGGGAGGTCAAGAGGTGGGAGGTCAAGAGTTGGGAGGTCAAGAGAAAACTAGGGAGGTCAAGAATTGGGAGGTCAAAAGTTGGGAGGTCAAGAGAAAACTAGGTCAAGAGAAAACTAGGTCAAGAGAAAACTAGGGAGGTCAAGAGGGAGAGGGAGGTCAGAAGAAACATGGAGGGGATTGAAGGAGAAAGAGTTGATGCCTCGTGGGCTAATGGGCTATGGTTGGGGGGGGGGGGGGTTGTCTGTGACTTGTTACACGGAACACAGGACATTTACACAACTTAGTTTTACAGTTCGACGTGTCGGAACACAGGACATTTACACAACTTAGTTTTACAGTTCGACGTGTCGGAACACAGGACATTTACACAACTTAGTTTTACAGTTCGACGTGTCGGAACACAGGACATTTACACAACTTAGTTTTACAGTTTGACGTGTCGTATCTTAACCGACATTTAAAGTGGGGCTTTACCAAATGAAAATCGATAACCAGAAGATTAGCGGAAATCAAATTTAGACATTTAAATTACTTCTAATATACGACAAGTGGAAAAATCCAATATAAGCCACATGCTGGGTAATGATCGATTTCTGTATGAATGGTGTATACGTCGTATATGAATGATGTCTTAAAATGTATACAGGATATCTAGTTCTTAAAATTATAATTTCATCTTGCAAGATGGCATCTCGTACATAGTGTCGTTAATTCGTTAATTAATTCATACATCAATTAAGCCTGCTAAAAATAAAACAACCTCTTAACTGTATAGTTTGATATCTGTTAGATTTATTCTCCTTCTATTCTGCCCAAAGACAAGTAAACCGAGCAGAGTTTTATTATTGTGTTTGTCTCCCTTAGACCAGTATCAGTTTTGTATCTAATTCTGCTCCACGGCAGATAAATTGCAATAATGTTAGATATTCATGTTTTGTTATTCAACGATTTGATATTAAAATCATTTTTTAAATAACACTTATAAATTTATAACATTGACACGTGCTGATATAGAAAAAAATAAATAGTGTTTAAATTGTGTTGCTTAGTTAGACACACTAAATTTTTAAATTTTTGTTCTCAGATAAACTAAATTTTTAATTTATTTTTCTCAATTGGTTAGACAAACTAAATTTTAAAATTTATAACAAATAATACAGCCACATTATTCGCTATAGTTCACCTGTATTCAATAGCAATAGAAACCTGTATTTCAGTAAAAAAAAATCTTTTATCAATTCACCTATTTTTTTGGGGTGCTGAAATCAGAAAAATTCGCCAATCGATTTAGCTGAAGTAAATTTTTATCTAAAGTGGTTACCTCCCTTTGCGAGATTATAATGGTAGATGTTTTTCAGCAGGTGAGTCGAGAGAAATTTTTGTTGTTGAATGGAATCGGGATGCTGATCCCAGTCAACAACTGGTGATGCCGTCGGTCGCGATGGTGCAAAAACAGACAAAAGTCGGCCATGATGGTGCACAAACAGACAAAC